AGTAAAAATTAGAGCAGAAATAGGGGCACCAGGGTGGCTCAGTTGGTTAAGCCGCTAACTCTTGATTTCCACTCAGGTCATGATCTCAAGGTCCTGGGATTGAGCACTGCTTCAGGCTCCATGCTCAGCGGGGAGTCTACTTGAGGATTCCCTCATTCCGTCTCCATTTGCCCCTTTCCCCACTCTCTCTCTCTCTCTCAAACAAATCCTTTAAAAAAATACAGCAGAAATAAATAGTATAGAAACTTAAAAAAGATAAAACTAGAAGAGATCAATGAAACCAGTTGCTGGTTCTTTGGAAAAATTAATAAAACTGACAAGGCTCTAGCCAGAGTTACAGAAAGAAAAGAGAAAGGACCCAAATAAATAAAATCACAAATGAGAGAGGAGAAATAACACCACCACAGAAATGCAAACAGTTATGAGAGAATATTATGAAAAAGTATATGCCAACAAATAGACAATCTAGAAGAAATGGATAAATTCCTAGAAACATACAAATTACCAAAACTGAAACAGGAGGGAATAGAAAATTTGAACAGACTGATAACCCGCAAAGAAATTGAATCAGTAATCAAAAAACTCTGAACAAACCCAAGTCCGGGACCAGATGGCTTCAGAGGCAAATTCTACCAAGCACTTAAAGGAAGAATTAGTACCTATTCTTCTCAAACTGTTCTCCCCCCCCACCCAAAAAAAACAAAAAACCAGAAAAGGAAGGAAAACTTCCAAATTCATTTTATGCGGCCAGTATTACCCTGATACCAAAACCAGATAAAGACACCACAAAGAGAACTAGGCCAGTATCTCTAGTGAACCTAGATGCAAAAATCCTCAACAAAATACTAGCAGACTGAATCCAACAATACATTAAAAAAATCATCACCATGATCAAATGGGATTTATTCCTGGGTTGTAGGGGTGGTTCAATATCTGCAAATCAATCAATGTGATACACCACATTAATAAAGGAGAAGAATCATCTGATCGTTTCAATAGATGCAGAAAAAGCATTTGACGAAGTACAACGTCCATTCACGATAAAAACCCTCAACAAAGTAGGTTTAGAAGGAACATCCTGCAACATAATAAAGGTCATATATAAAAAATGCATAGGTAATGTCATCCTAAATGGGGGGAAATGGAGAGAAAACTACTTAGATCTTGCTTCTAGTTATGTGCTGCTTCTCATTAGCACTGTTTGTCATTAATAAATTAATCTTGACATTTATTACTTCCCACTTTAATGGAGACCAGTTTCTACTGTATAAGTTATGTATCTTATTAACTCTTTTTATCACCAATTTATCTGTTTATCTTTTTTGTTTTTTTCTTAACAAACCCCCCAAAGTTTAGTGGCTTAAATAAATAACATTTATTTTGTTCACAAATCTGTTAGGAAAAGTGTGGCCAGGACAGCTTGTTTCTGTTCCCCTAGCTTCAGGTGGGGCAGCTGAAAGGTTTGGGGATGGAAGCGTTTGAAGATTTGTTCCATCACTTCTGGTGTTGTTGATGCTGGCTGTTGACTAGGACTATAGCTAAGGCAGGCAGCTGAAACACCTAGACTCTCTTTGTGGCCTGAGCTTCCTCACAAGTTGGAGGGTGAAATTCCAAGTATGCTGCCTGAGATACAGAGCAAGGCAGAAGCCCTATTACCTTTGTAACCTAGCTTTGGAATACACACAGCATCACATTCACCATATTCTGTTTGTTAGGAGATAAGTCACTAAGATTGCCCACGGTCTTTTTATTTATTTATTTTTAATAGAATGAATATTTAAAAACCTATGGACACATTTAAAAACCAGCATATTTTTTTATTCCTCCAACATGAAAAATACACTCAACTCCTCCCACAAATCTCAATTAGCATGGCATTAGGTTCAGGCTTGATCCAAGATCTTACCATTTTAATCAGGTGCAGTGGAGATAAGGTGTCTGAAGTATAGTCCCTTGAGTTCAAGTCCTCTCAATATGAAGACTTGAGAATTAAAGTGACAGTTCTCTACCACTCAAAATGCAGGATGCTGGTAATCTTCTAAGGACTCTCCCATTCAGAAAGAAGATGGGAAGCACGCTAGTCCATAGCAGTTTTGAAATATAGCCTGAAGCATGCTGTCAGTTCTTTAGTTAGGACTTAGTCCTAACCATGGGAATACTTCTCCATGGCTCTTTGCTTTACTCTTTGAGCTCTTGGTTCTGTCCTTTTCATAAGGAATGACCTGTGTTTTTAGCTGTTTTTTCAGCCTGCTTCCTCCCTGTGGGACTTCTAAGACCCAAAGGCCTGTTTTCAGCTTGTACTATCTTGGTCTCTTTTAGTCCAAGCTCGCAAACAGTGTTTTTACTTCTCTAATTCTCTTCACTTTTTTTTTTTTTGAAGATTTTATTTATTTGACAGAAAGATAGAGAGCACAAGTAGGCAGAGAGGCAGGCAGAGGGAGAGGGAGAGGCAGTCTCCCTGCCGAGCAGGGAGCCCGATGCGGGACTCGATCCCAGGACCCTGGGATCTTGACCTGAGCTGAAGACAGCCGCTTAACCGACTGAGCCACCCAGGTACCCCTATAATTCTCTTCAGTTTTTGAGTTTTCTGTGAATATTATTGGAGTTCATGCCATTAGAAAAGCCATTCTCCTGGGTCTTTTTGAGATAAGGTTTTCACCTCAGGTTTCCTGTAAACCTCATTTTGACAATGCCTTTAAAATTCTTATACTCTTAAGATCCTTAAAGAAATTGGAGGCACACCTTAAATCCTTCCGAGTTCTTACTAAAGGGCTTCATAGTCTTGGCTTCATCCATAGACCATGTTTTCCTCAATTTGCTCTCAACCCAGAAGCCATTTATTTTAGCATTATTTGACAATTCAGCATGTGGAGAGGCTGTAAATGAGAAACATATTTGAACCCAGTAAATCCCGGTTCCTTCATATTGAATAGAGTTTCTTTAGCTTATCTCCCCTATGAGTTTCCTTTCAAGTGGTTTGTGGCATGAGTTCCTTTCCCTCTAGTGTCATTTTCTTCACTTGTCTAGAAACCTTTGCTGTAAGCCTCTTCAAGGGCCATCAGGTTTCCTCTAACAGTCTGTTGGAAGCCCTTTTGGTTTTCATTCTTACTCTTCTCTACATCCTTTTCAGTTTCCACCTACCTCCTGGTTCAAAGGAGGTTTTATTTTTAGTTTGTTTTGTTTTTAATGGCAGCACCCCATTTTTAATATCAGTATCTGTGCCAGTTATTTATTGCTGCATACTAAACCATCTCAAAACGTAGTGGCTCAAAACAGCATTTATCTTGTTCACACATCTTTAGACAAGGCTGAGTAAGGTCAACTCATTTCTTCTTCATTTGGCATCACCTGCGATGACTGGAAGCTGGGAACTAGAATCATCTAAAACCTTATTCTTGTTCATGCACATGTTTGGCTGTTGAGCCTGCCTTTTGACTAGGATGTTAGCTGGGGCAGTCTCAGCTGCAGTATCTGCATGAGGACTCACTAGGTGGCCTGGGCTTTCCCACAACAGCTGGATTCTAAGGGTGAGCTTCCCTAGAAAAAGTCAGATGGAGGCTATCTCACATTTTGTAACCTAGCCTTAAAAATCACACAGCAGTTCTGCCATATTCTATTCACTAGAAACCAGTTACTAAGGCCAGCACATATTAAGGGGGAGGGGGATTGTCATGGGAGAAGTGTCAAAGAATTTATAAAAACACCACATCCATTCACCTTGTCTTAACCAATCATATCTAAAGGAAAGAAGTTCTTCCGAATTCAGCATCACTGAAACTCCAGCAAGTTTTTTGGTTGTTTTTGTCTTATTTTGTGGGACGTAACAAAGGATTATAATACTCTTGAATTAAGGTTTTTTGTTTTGTTTTGTTTTGTTTTGGTCCAAAAATGTATGGATCATCTCACTAAATTTTTTTACTAAGAGATGCGATTTCTCAACCTTGCAAATCATTTCTTCTCAGAATGCAATTCAAATTAGCATAAAACATTTGTAATTCAGAAAAAGGCATATGGCATTAAAATCAGTCTTTATAGATTCATTAATTAGAGTTTTATTTTCAAAGTCTTATTTTGGTAAGCATCTATTTGCTCAGACCCACATAAGTCAATATGATATTCCTAAAACTTCTATAAAAATTATGGTGTACCAGGGCACCTGGGTGGCGCAGTCAGTTAAGTGTCTGCTTTTGGCTCGGGTCGTGATCCTGGCATGCTGGGATTGAGCCCCACGCTGGGCTCCCTGCTCATTGGGGAGTCTGCTTTTCCCTCCCCCTGCTCTTGCACTCTTGCTCTCTTGCTCTCTCTCCCTCTCAAATAAATAAATAAAATCTTTTAAAAAATTATGGAGTGTTGGGCGCCTGGGTGGCTCAGTTGGTTAAGCGACTGCCTTCGGCTCAGGTCATGATCCTGGAGTCCCGGGATCGAGTTCCGCATCGGGCTGCCTGCTCGGCGGGGAGTCTGCTTCTCCCTCTCCCGCTCCTCCCTCTTGTGCTCTCTCTCTCTCTCTCTGACTCTCTCTCTCAAATAAATAAATAAAATCTTTAAAAAAAAAATTATGGAGTGTTAAGATGAGGGAAGGGTTAAGGGACTTTCTACTAAGAGATGACTTACAGTTATTTTATGGAGGAAAGATCTGAAACAATCATAGAAAAATGAAAGTATAAATGTGTGGCAAAGAGAACGATAGCAGAGATCTCTTTTAGTAACTACTAGTGGTTTTAATTTTGTTCTTGATTTTCTGAGTTATTTGAGGTTCCCCATTCCAAGACTCTACTTACAACATAGATAACATTTTGTTGAAAATGAATTTATTTTAAAATTTGAGCACCTGGCTGGTTCTGTCAGGAGAGCATGTGACTCTTGATCTTGGGGGTTGTGAGTTCGAGCCCCGTGTTGGGTGTAGAGACTTAAAAATAAAATCTTTAAAAAAAAATTTGGTCATAGTTTTGCATTAGGCTATTTTCACTCTACTTCCAAACTGTATTATTGTATTCATACAGGTTGATGATCTTTCAGCAAAACTGGAAACTGCGTCTTCAAAATGTCTATACTTGGATGCAAACAACCAGCTTCTTACCCAGGAGTTATCATCTATGAAGGAAATGCAGAAGAAATACGAAAAACTAAAGAAGAATAAAAAGAAGTTGGAACAACAAGTAGTAAACCTCAGAAGTCATGTAGAATTCAGTATGATAGAATACAGTAAAATAGAACAATATAAACGGGAGCTTGAAGAAAGAACAAGATTGGACATAACAGAAAAATTAAAAGAAGCCAATCTGTTTTTCCAGGTTAATTTATTGATCTGTGTTATGCTTTAATCATTTCTCTACAAGTTACATTTTGGTTATATGCATTGTATAGTTTTCCTCTACTTCCTTTATAGCAATTCGGTAAATTTCTGGATGCATTTGTTCCTTCTCTTTAAAAATTTCAGTTTTCATCATTATTCTCACTAAATTGATTTTTCAGAATGATTCACAGTAGAGAATCATTTTATTTTTTAAGATCAGTTGGTATAAAAGAAGACTATTGACAGGAAAAGAAAAAATGGTGTTTTAAAAATTTTGACCATGCGGTGCCTGGGTGGCTCAGTTGGTTGAGCAGCTCAGGCTCATGAAATCAAGCCCAGCATGGAGCCTACTTAAAAATAAAGAAAAAATTGTACCATACTTGGATTTTTTTTTTTAAGATATTTATTTATTTATTTATTTATTTATTTATTTATTTATTTATTTATTTAGAAAGCGTGGGTGAGGGAATGCACAGAGGGAGAGAGAGAATTCCAGGCAGACTCCATGCTGAGTATGACACAGGGCTTTATCTCAGGACCCTGAGATCACGATTGAGCAGAAACCCAGAGTCGGGCGCTCAACCGACTAAGCCAGCCTGGCACCTCTGTACTTGGATTATTCTTAATTTCTATTGTTCACTTTTTGAAAGTTGTACATGATTCTATTATTCTCTGAATTATAAGATTGCATGAGTTGTAATATAAGAATGATTGAACTTTATCATTCAGATTTAATTCAGTTGACATTGATGATAAATATTTTACGCTTCAGCTTTTTTTTCACATTTACAATTGCTCTCTGAATTATTGACTCAAAACTAAAGGAAAGAAATATAGTATTATTACCCAGATGATAACTTATTTTAAAAGTATGCTTTTAATTTGCTTTAGACACAAGTAGCATCTCAAGAACGCTTAGGACAGTTAAGAGAAACTAATAATGTTTAAATAAGAAATCAAATGGAACTCAGAATTAAAGAACTGGAATTTGAATTATCCAGAATGAAAAGTTCTCAAGAAGATTTTAATAAAACAGAATTGGAAAAATACAAGCAACTCTACCTAGCAGAATTAAAAGTTCGAACGTCATTGACAAATGAACTGAACAAGTAAGTTAAAACAGAATCATAGAAAATAGATTTAGCTTGTTAACTTGCCTCTAAAGCGTAATTTTTATGGAGCCAGGTTCATGAGATGAGTAGTAAGTGAAAGTCAACTAGATAGTTTAATTTTGGAAAATGATGTTTGTAAAAGAACTTACCTTTGAAATGTAGTCCAAGACAGTTTGCATCTCTCCTCCTTCTTTTGGTTTTACGTGATTTTATTTTTTTCCCCTTAATATTTTCAGTTAATCTGATCTCCTAGTCTTTAAGCTAATGGTTAGAAGCTTTATAATTTAGACAGCATGTTATTATAAAATTGTTTGTCAGAATTGCCCTATATAGAAATGAGTTTATTAATATTAGTGAGTTTATTTTTGGAACACTACGTCTTTAACCCAAACTGCACATCCTGGCAGCTTGGTAAATTTACTTTTGCGATTGTGGTTTTTGTTGTTATTACCAAATAGAGGGTGCTTTGAAACAAACTGTTCTTTGTAGTTTTTCTACCTTACATAAAAGTATACATGTGAAATATAAAAAGATTCCCCTAGGGCCGAAAGGCAGTACAATTCCCAAAGTGGCTAAAAATAGCACCATGGTGGACATGAGGAGGGGCTGGGTGAAAGACAGAAAGGGTAGATTCCACCTCCAGTACCCTGGTAGCTGTGTTATAACCTAACTGGCTCTGGAGCTGTTTTATTTCTTTCTGATCACAACTCTGCCATCAAGCAATTGTTGGTCTAAATTATTCCTCAGTGCCAAATGCTCAATTTCTCTGAGGTAATGAGTGAAATGTGCAAGAGTGGTGAAAGCCAATGCTTGAAAATGTCTTTGAGGGATGGTTTATTTTTATTTTTATTTTAAAGATTTTATGTATTTATTTGACAGAGAGCGAGCGAGTGAGCTCAAGCAGGGGGAGCGGCAGGCAGAGGTTGAGGGAAAAGCAGGGGCTCGCTTCCAGGACTCTGGGGTCATGACCTGAGCCGAAGGCAGATGGTTAACTGACTGAGCACCCAGCCCCCCGGGATGGTTTTATATTTTTATATCTCTAAACTGGTTTACTAAATAGAAGTATATGTAATGGCATCCTGGTTTACTAAATATAAGTATGTGTAATGGCATCCTCAAGAATCTTGTAAGTCCAGCCATTCCAGAAGGCAGCAGGTATTACCTGTTAAGCCATGTGCATCACTAATAGCCATTTCTGTCCCTCCTTAATTTGAATTACTTGTTAGTTAGGAATCTCTAGAAATATATGTCCTTCTTTAGAAGAATTTTAAACCTATCATTATATATTGTAGGCCTGCTCTGTCACATTTTCAGTGTTAAAACACCGTTTAATGGCACATTCTGTTTACTATTATGGAAATTTTAAAAAAATGCAAGTCATTTAGGAATGATTTGGGGAGAAATGAAATACTAAGCATTGTGTTTTGTAATCTTAACAGGACTAATGAGAAGCTGGCAGAGACCAGTACCAAACTTCTGGTGGAGACACAGCAAAAAAAGCCTTTGATTAATACTATTGCTATGAGCCCTGTCCTAGAATTGCCTTCTGTTAGAAATATGAATAATAGTTCACTGTTGAATAGATATGTTGCTCCAAGAGAAAACCTAGTGATTCCTACCTCAAGCTCATGGCCTACAAAGAATGGCATCGAGACTTTCTTGACCTTTTTTTCCTTGGGTTTCAGATTTCTGATATAATTTTTTAATTTGGTGAAATTCTGAGTTGTTTAACACACACTAAGTAAAAGTCATAATTATATGTGCTAATAAAGAAAAGAGACAGAAATTTTATGATTTTTTTTTAGTTCCTGGAGCTCTTACTTTCAAGAGATACTTATTATTAACTTTATTTAGTAAATATAACTAAACTGACATATTTTACTATTTTTTAAAGATTTTATTTATTTATATATTTTTTTGAAGATTTTATTTATTTATTTGACAGAGACACAGTGAGAGAGGGAACACAAGCAGGGGCAATGGGAGAGGGAGAAGCAGGCTTCCCTCCAAGCAGGGAGCCCGATGCGGGGCTTGATCCCAGGACCCTGGAATCACGACCTGAGCCAAAGGCAGCCGCTTAACAACTGAGCCACCCAGGCGCCCCTAAAGATTTTATTATTTTAGAGAGAGAGAGTGCACAAGAGGGAGAGAGAGCATGAGACTTTGAAGCAGACTCCCCACTGAGCGTGGAACCCTACGTAGGGCCCAGTCTCATGACCTATTTTCTTACATGAGAGTACATTTTTAATTGCTTTCTTACTTATAGCATTTTTTTTTTTACTTATAACACTTCTATTTCATGTTTTACAAAATGTCTTGAGCAGTTGTAGAGCAATTTTCTAAATAGCTAAATCAAGCAAATATTTGATTTTTTTTTTTCTTTCAGAGAGGGAGTGCAAGCAGGGGGTGAGGAGCAGAGGGTAAGCAGGATCCATGCTCAGTGTGGAGCCCAATGTAGGGCTCAGTCTCACAACCCTGAGATCGTGACCTGAGTCAAAATCAAGATCAGACACTTAACTGTGACTGAGCCACCCAGATGCCCCACAATTTGAATTTTTAAAAAGAAGTTCACATATATCTTCCTTGCCTTCACTTGAATGATTGATGACTAAGATGGGAATGATAGGGAGTCTTTAAATAGCAGCTAGTTTCCTTTGTGTATCATTGTTATTAAAATATCCATTTCAATGAATGCACATAGGTTTGTGGTTTTGATGGTATATTCATGGTCTTATTAATGTAGACAAAAGTAGCATAGGCTTGTGGTAAATGAGGCCTCAATCTTGTTCTTTCATTCGGCATCTTCATTGTGTTGCTCTCTTCCCTTCTAATTTGAGGACTTTCTTTAGTGTTATGCTTGGATGCCTTTAGATTTTTGGTTTGTGATCACTATGAAGTTTATATATAACATCCTATGTATATGGCAGTCTATTTTAAGTTGATGGTTACTTAAGTTCAAACACATTTTTAAAACACTACATTTTTACACCCCACCTTGTTTTATTTATTTGATGTCTTTTTACATCTTTTTATTTTGTGTATCCCTTAACTAATTCCTATAGATAACGCTGATATTACTACTTTTGTCTTTTAAGCTTCATACTGGCTTTATAAAAGTGATTAATCTATTACCTTTACTGTATGTTTGCTTTTACCAATAAAAGGGGAGGAGGCATGTGGTCAGTTGGTGTCTCTCCCATGCCATGTCATTATAGAGCATTCTATATCATTCTGACTGCTGTAGAGCAGTGGTTTTTAAAAGGTTCTCCTGGCGCCAGGAACTCATCTAAAAATGGTGGTCTTTTCTTCTGATTTTGCACATGAACATTGTACATCTTCAGATTTTTTTTTTTTAAGATTTATTTTATTTATTTTTTTAGTGAAGGGGAGAGAGAGAGTACGGGAGGAGGGGCAGAGGGAGACTCCCCGCTGACCACAAAGCCTGACCCAGGGCTTGATCTCATGACCCTGAGATCACGACCTGAGCAGAAACCAAGAGTCAGTCGCTTAACCGACTGAGGCACCCAGGTGCCCCCAGAGAACTTCATTTTAGAAGAAGAATGAGTTCTACCCTTTTTATTTTTTTTTGAATGAGTTCTACTTTTAGTACACTATTGGAGGGCTGATATTTAAAATTCACAAGGCATGTAACAGTAGTTATTATGGGTGAGAAATACTTGGGTAGGAATCCCCACTATGACATTTGTTAACCATGTGCCTTTGGGCCTCAACTGACTCATCTATAAATAGGGTATAATAATAATAATACATCCCTCACAGGGGTGATATGATTCAAAAGAGAAGATATGTAGAAGGGCTCAATAGACTGCCTGACACAGAGTAAACATTCAATAAATGGAGCTTGGCTAATACTACTAGAAAGAAAAATGGACATCTTGTTAGGGTCTACCAAGGAAAGTCCTAGGTAATCCACCAGGAATTTTGCCTGCTCAGAAGTCTGAAGCAATGATGTCAATGCTCCCACTGTAAACATACACTCACAGATGCTTGGGTTTTCCACAGTTTTCCAGTAAATTACTTTTTTGTCAGGCCAGGGTCAACAGGGTTTTGACATCCTTCTGATTTTTAATTTCTATCACCTTCCTTTTAAGCATAAAATGCTCCAATGTGGCTTCTTCAGAATGAGTGCAATGCTGCTCTCGTGGGTGGTTGGGTTAACCCTAGAGTGAGCGGTGATGTGAATGCATCAGCACTTTGGGCCTGTCATGTTGCAATAACTAGACCTTATGACATGAACGCATTATGGCTCAAATTATGAGTTCTCCTGACACTTCTTTCTAGGATCTGTGTCTGCAGTTTGGAGGAGCTTTTCCCAGTAACAGGTCTTTTGTCCCACTAAAGTGGACCATGGTGAAAAAGAGTGCTAAAACATGATAATATAATATTCAAGACTGCCCCTTGGAAGCCTTGTTGCTGTTGCTATTGTTGGAAAATCTGAGAGTTTTTGAAAGCCATTAACAAATCTTAGAGCGCAGCATGTAGGGACCACGTAGCAATTGTCCTCTAAGTTTGGTACTAATCCTATCCTTTCAAATACTATATTTAATTCTGGGCTTGGTATCTAAAAGGAGACAAAGAACTTGGAGAGAGTTTAAAGGAAAACTATAAAAATGATTAAAGGTTTAGGAAACAAGACCCATGAGGAAAAGCAAAAGAGAGGTGCTTCTTCTGCCTACAGAATATCACTGGAGCCGAAACTGGAGAAAAGCTTTCAACTGGAGGACAGCTCTCATGTCTAAGCTACCCATAGAAAACAATTTAAGTTAAATATGAAAGATCTTGACCATGGGGAGTACTTTACCCAGAAGGCCATGGTGCAAAAGGTTATTACAAATAGGGTAGATTTGCAGCTGCCAGGAAGGAGAGTCGGGGCCCACCTGATGATAAGAAATACCACGATGTCCTTTTGAAATTTCTTTTCAGTCTCATGATCCTAGGATTGTTTCTGTTTCTGTAAGTGACTAGCCGATGTTAAGGTGCAAATGGTGAGATCCCAACCTCGGTTGTGTTTAAGATCCCAATCGAACCCTGATGATCCAGATGAACACTACACCTTGTGGTAATTCAGTGAATGTGACTCAAGAATGGTAATGACCATAGCGACGAAGGTAAGAATCCAGTTCTGTTGATGTTTAGACCAATTCATTAATTATTGGAAGATTTAACCTTCCCAGTTGCAGCCCTTCTACATTGATAACTCTAGAAAATTAGGGAGAAATCATAAGGAATTGTGTTTATTTTATAGGTTTAATTGCAAAGATCGATAACTCCAAAACGTGTACCTGGCAATTTTAGTAATCTAGAAAAAGTGGTTAAGTTCAGAATGTCATAAGGTAACATGTGCCTTTATCTATAGTTCTTTTTTTTTAATTTTTATTTTCCAGAGAGAGAGAGAACACAAGCAGGGGGAGTAGCAGGCAGAGGGAGAATCAGGCTCCTGCTGAGCAAGGAGCCCAGTGCAGGACTTGATCCCAGGACCCTGGGATCATGACCTGAGCCGAAGGTAGACGCTGAGCCACCCAGGCATCCCATACCTTTATCTATAGTTCTTTACTTGTTATTTATTTATTTTTATTTTTGTTATTTATATATTATATATATTTATATATATATTTATATATTTATATATAATATATTATATATATTTATATATTATATATTGTTATTTATATATTATTTATTATATCCCTCTTAACAACTTTGTAGACTCACTGAGGTACAGATGATAAGCTGTACGAACATGGCCGTAAGTGATCACTGGATGAGCCAGGGTAAAAAACTATATATGGTAAGCATTTGCTTGGTATTAGGAAGGTTTAAAATAAAAGTCTACAAAACACATCCCCTGTCCTTACAAAAACAAACATGCTAAAGAAACATGTTGTATTTGCTAGTAGGACCAAGCTATTTATAATATAAAATAATTTTTTAAATCAAACTGGTTTAAAGTCTTGATACACCAGAATTTGGAAGAAGCCATAATATCAAACAAAGAAAATTCAGAATTTGACTTTAAATGTTGCTTTGACAGCAACATAAGTATATTTGCCAAACCTGATTAGCCTAAATCCAATAATGAAGAAACAAATGGAGAAATCCAGAATGGGAGACATTGGTCAAGATTCTTAGGGAAAAAGTCATTAGTGTAGAATATTTTTTTAACGCAGGGAAATTGTTTTAAGTAAGAACTAAAGAATAACCAAATGGAGTGTACAAACCTTGCTTGAAACCCAGATTAGGGGGAAAAAAAAAAAAAGAACAAAAACCCAACTATAAGACATTTTTTGGAACAACTGAGGAAATTCAAATATAGACTATATATTAAATGGTATAATACAATTAATGTTAATGTTCTTAAATGTGGTCATTCTATTCTGATTGGTTATGTAAAAAATGTTCTTTGTTCTCAGATGATTCTCCCTCTCTTTTCCTCCATATGTGCATGTGTATGAATAGTCAGCTGAATTCTTTTTTTTTTTGCTAAACAAAGAACAAAGAATTTAATCAATAAAACAAGTCAGAATATTCCAGATACATATTTGTGTATATATACATGTGCATAGATATATACATAGATAAAGCAGATGTGACAAAATATTAAAAAGTGGTGAAATTGGGTAAAGAGTATGTGTTCATTGTACTGTTCTTTCAACTTTCCTATAGTTTTTTAATTTTCAAAATAAAAATGGGGAAGGTGTAGAATTGTTTTAAAACAGTGCAGTTAGCAAACCCCAGTATATGATGAAAAACCCATAAAGTATTTGAAGTAACAAAAGAAGTGAACTACTTTTGGTGGTCTTTATTTTCTTGCAGCCTCTCTTACTCTCAAATTAATACTTGCCATTCAAGAAGTATTTGCTATAAATACAAAAACTTCCAAAGCTAAGAAATTAAGGGCTGTGGAAATTCAAAGGAAGCAAACAAACAAAACCTAAGTCATTCTCCATGTATGTATGTCAAGTCATTATGTGGTTTATCTGTATGTTAATAAAACTGGAAAAAAAATAAGTCCTATAGAAATTCAAATGTAGAGCCATTGTCTCGTGATTCACAATTCCTTTTATCCCTGAGTTTTCAGACCGCCCATCTGTGTTTGCCTGTGGGATCATATCTAATAGTGGAAAAGTGAATAAAAGTTAGGGGCATAATTATAAAAATGCTTTGAGTTCATATTCTTTAAGATGTCAGAATACAGCCCCTAGGCTATAATTTTAGTAAGAACCTTAATAGTACATGAAGTTTATTTAAGCAGATTGTCCACTGAACTGATCCCATTAATCCAAACTGTCACAATTTTAAAATGTTTCTATGTCCTGATGTCCTCGAGTGTAAATAATCGATGAACTGCACCAAATTCAATTCAATTTGCCAGCTTTAGCCTTTTCATTGTCTCGGTCCATCACAACCCTCCCTATGTTCATGTGTGATCTGCCAGATTAGTTGTAACTTGCATATTTTATATTTAGATTAGGGAATCCTTCTGGAATGCTACAGACTTGTTTTGCTTTGTTCATTGAATTCTTTGTTGCATGTCTTGCAAAAAAAGGATTCAGCTGGATCGTAAAGGGCTCCACCCAGTAAATGCTTCAGAAACACAAGTTGGACAGAGCATTTTGTTTTCTGGTCTGAGTCACCAGATGACTTGTTGGATTTTGAGAGCCTGCTGAAGCAGGACAGGCTTGAGGCATGACTCAGAGCCACTGTGTTCATGGTGGGCTCATTTCACATCAGGTTCATTAAAGGGTCTGTGGATTTTTTTTCTTGTGATCTTCATGTTACAAGATTTCCTTTGAAGCATTTATTATTGAAGCAATATTGAAATTCTTTTGTGTTATCATATAGGTACTAAACAATTTGGGAGAGTTGGAGTCCATTAAAGTATTTCTGGGAACATGCAATCCATTCTTGCAGCAAGAGGGGAAACATTCTACTCTACGATGGCCTGGAAGTATCCCTTCCCTCTATGCTTTGTGGAAGGCAGGTTCAAAGTTCTCTGATTAATCACCAAAGAGAAACCTTAGTAATTGCAGTGTACTGTCTTTCTGGGTAAAATCAAGAAGGTTTGTGTCATGGATACATTTGCAGCCAATCCTTTGTTATATAACATGATATAGACAAGATCTGAGGAATAACAATTTTGCACAGAAATGTGTTCAGAAAGGTCCACTCTTGCCCACATAGGGTTTTGGTATCACATTAAAAGGTCACAGAGAAGAGGTTCATTAAATGACCCACGGTCATTTTGACATTAGTGGGTTAAGAACAATTCAGAAGGAGTCACAGTAAACATACTTTCTGAAACAGAACAGACATCTCCTTGTCATGATTTATTCAATATTGTCTTTGCCAGAGTACGTTATACACTGCCTCGCATATGGGAATGTCTCAATAAATGTTTATTAGTAATTGATCGGGAAGAGAAAAAAAATGAGAAAGTGAAGGATAATTAGATTCTGAATAAAATATGTTGCCTGGCCCGCTGAGACAAAGTTGGAGCAAGATCACACCATTCTGGTACCACTTGGAGTAGCTTTCTTTTCCTTCAGATTCTTTATGAGCGAGTGAAAATGGCCCTTCAGTGTCCTTTTACTCTTCTCTCTCCTGCCCCCTAGAACTTTTGAGCTTTGTATTCTGGGAAGCAGTGGGTTACTGGATTTCTGGGGCTGCAGGAAATACTGAGAAGGGACTCGACTTGTAAACCAAGTGGGCCCCCTCTGGAAGAAGGACTTTTTATCTACGTTCTTTAAAATAAGTTGTTTTCGGGCGCCTGGGTGGCTCAGTTGGTTAAGCGACTGCCTTCGGCTCAGGTCATGGTCCCGGGGTCCTGGGATCGAGTCCCGCATTGGGCTCCCTGCTCTGCGGGAAGCCTGCTTCTCCCTCTCCCACTCCCCCAGCTTGTGTTCCCTCTCTCGCTGTGTCTCTCTCTCTCAAATAAATACATAAAATCTTAAGAAAAAAAAAATACAGCTCCTACCAGAGGACCCTGGGATTCAAACAAACATAAATGATTTCTATCATTTCCCCTTTGTCCATATTTATTTACCATCTCAAATAACTTTTAGGGACGTCTGGGTGGCTCAGTCAGTTAAGCTTCTGCCTTCGGCTCAGATCATGATCCCAGGGTCCTGGGCTGGAGTCCCACATCAGGCTCCCTGCTCAGCGGGGAGCCTGCTTCTCCCTCTGCTTGTAGTTTCCCCTGCTTGTGCTCGCTCTCTCTCTCCGAAAAATCAATTAATAAAATCTTTAAAAAAAATAACTTTTAAATTAAGCCTTTATTTCCCCTTATGTTAAAATATTTCTTTCTCATTCCAGAAATGGGAGCCAATTATTTCTGAGGATGCCCTTGTATGTGTGTGCTTCTGATACAACAGGTCAGATAAAGCTTTGGTATTTCTTAAATAATTGGAAGCTCGTATTTACACCAAAAAAACCACTATGCCATGATTTTGTCATGTGAGCTGACTCCAAACTAAAAGGTCAGGTAGACAAGCCCCTCTTCAAGTTTTTTCTATTTCTGGGAAGCTCGGGCTAGCTCTGTTCCCTGGGTCAGAGAGGAGGTGATAAACAAACTCACACAAAGCCGAGTGATTCAGTGCTTAGGAGGCTGTATCAGAAGGCATGACTTCATCCAAACAATGAACTGCTGATACTGAGAAATTTGGCCATCAGCCAGAATAGGAGATGTTTCCGAGTTTCACATCAGTTATTTATCCTATAACTATTTACTGATTACTTCCCATAGGTAGACTGTCATAGCTGTTGGGGATACTCAGAAGCTTTTGCTTTCAAAGAGCTTGTGATTTGGTAGCGGAGACAGCAAAAAGACAATTATAAAACATTATAGTAGCATAAGAGCAGGTACACAGACATGCCCAAGATGTGGGATGTCAGAAGAGAAGCACAAGAACAGAAATTGTGTTTGCCAGACATCCTCTACACCTCTTTCTCTTTGGGTAGCAGTCATAAGGTCAGAGGTCAGAGGGCTGATCCCAGCTGAGGGTGTGGGGTGCTGGGCGTGGGATGGCGGCTGAGGAACCTAAGTCACTCAGAAGCCACAGGCCTCACACTAGATGCAAGTCATCACCTGGGACACTGGTCTGGGTTCATGTGTCACAGTTCAGGCCATCCAGAGCTTTTCTGAGAACTTTGGGAAACAAGTGTTCATGCTCTTATGTTGCTGTTAATTGAGATATAATGTGCACACCGTAATACTCAATTCACCCTTTTACAGTGTACCGTTCAGTAGTTTGAGTATATTCACAAAGTTGTGCAACCATCACCACTATCTAATTCCAGAATATTTTCATCACCCCAAAAGAACCTTCATACTCATCCTTGTCTCCCTGCAACTCCTGGCAACCATTAACCTATTCTCTATGCCTTTAGACGATTCTGAATATTTCATGTAAGTGGAATCATATAATATGTGGCTTTTTGTGTCTAGCTTCTTTTGCTGAGCATAATGCATGCAGGGTTCATCCACACTGCAGTGTGTATCAATGCTTCATTCCTTTTCATGATGGAATATTCCATTGTGCAGATATACCAACCACATTTGGTTTATCCATTCATCAGTTGATGGGTTGTTGTGGTTTTTTTTGTTTTTTCACTTTTTGGCTATAATGAATAATGCTGCTACAAACATTTTTGCCTAAGTTTTTTTGTGTTCACATGTTTCCAGTTCTTTCGGGAAGATACCGAGGAGTGGAATTGCTGAATCAGATGGTCAATTTAGGTTCAATTATTTGAGGAACTACCAGATTGTACCATTCTTCATCCCCACCAGCAACGTGCATTTCTCCACATCTTCGCCAACGTTTGCTATTGTTTGTCTTTTTGGATACAGCTCTCCCAGTGTGTGTGAAGCAGTATCTCATTATGCTTTTAATTTGCATTCCCCTAATGACTAATGGTGTTGACCTTTCTCTGTGCTTATTGGCCATCTGTATATCTTCGGAGAAATGTCTATTCAAAATCTTTTTCCATTTTTAAATTGGGTTATTTGTCTTTTAATTTTTAAGTTGTCAGAGTTCTTTATATATTCTGAATACCAGACCTGATCATCTATATGATTTGCAAATATTCTTTTTTTTTTTTTTAATGAGTCAGGGGTGCATTTATTTGGTGACATTGTGTGCTTTGATTAGTGCTGCTCCCCACGGGGAGCCCACCCAGGACCACGCAGCAAACCAGCCAAACACAGAGCAGAGGTACTTCCAGGCTAACTTACCCTGGTGTTTAGAACAACCATTCTTACGCTGTGTAAAATGACCTCCCAGGATATTTTGCTGTTTTTCCCCAGGTCTGGGCTCGCAGGAAGCCTTAATAAATATTTGCTCTAAATTTTATCTGTTCATATAATTTTAATTGAATCATTTGTTAATGGGAAAACATTCCTCAAATCATCTGTATGTATTCCGTTTGACTTAATCCTCAGCTGTCGCAAATCACTTTTCTGGAGAAGCCTTCCCTGGCCACACTAGCAGAAACAGCGGAAGCTTGCCTCGTTCTCCATTCCTCTAGCTTGCTTTACTCTTTACAGCACACATCACCTGGTATGTTACACATTCACTTGTCGATTATCTCGTGAGCAGCTGTGCACATGCGCACACGCACACGCACGCGCGCCCACGCACACACAATAGTCTGAGTTCCGTTACAGAAGGGGGTCGCCATGGCAACGGACGCCGGGTTCTGGACTCCCAACTGCCCCAAGCCCGCAGCTGTGCGGGAGGCGCCCGGCCGCAGCGGCCAGCCCCTGGCTCCGATGGAGAGCGAGGAGGACACGTCCAAGACCGAGGAATGCCGGAAGATCCTCGAGAACCTCGTGTCGACTCTGGAACAATTCCGGTTCAGCCCCAGATGACCCGCACGAGCCACCGCGGCCCGCGCAGCGCCACCTCCCCTTCCTTCGGGCCACGCGCCCCTTTCCCGCGCCTCCCGCCCGCGCTCCAGGCGCGGGAAATTGATTTCTTAAGTGCATTCACATAAACTGAGCACATGGACTCTGGAGCCAGAGTGCCTGGGTTCAAATCCTGCGACCCTCTACAGGGCCCCTGAGTTGGGCGAGTTCCTTAAAAACTTCTGTCGCAGTTACCTCGTGGGGAAACCGCCGTGTCGGTGGTGGTCGGTGTAGCTGAGAGTGAACACGAAAGGGGTGCATGTGCGTACTGTGTGTAGACGAGCGCCGTACACATATACACAGAGTACCCTGTAGGTGTTTGCCAACGTCGTTGTTATCCCTTGATCCTTTCTTCACATTTCCTCCCTTTCATCATCCTTTGCCCCCCTCTGCCCATATTGTGTCTGTTCGGATAACATAGAGCTGATGAGCCTGGAAAAATGTGTTTTTCCTTCCAAAAACCCTTTAAGATCAGTAAGTGGCCAGCACTAGGTTAGCTACTGTGCAAGCACTTAGAGTTCCCTAAGTCAAGGGCTTCATGGTGCCTGGTAGGCCGGCTTGGAGAGGCAAGCCCGGCACACTGAGGCTCCGGAGTGAGAAGAAAGGACCAGCACGGTACTTGCCCCATGGTGGAGACTGACCCAGTGAGACAATGCTGCCAGCTCAGCGTAAGTGGGTGCATTTGTGAAAATAGATCAGGGAGACACAGGCCCTGGTTTATTGGGGGTTGTGGAAAGCACATATTGGCAATGGCCCATAATAACACCATGGGCACTGTGTCTAACCTGTTCTGCTTGTTTACTGCTAGGAATGACTTCCTGCCTTGGATTCCTTGGCATTGCCTGGTGTGGAGCTCACCAGCAAAACACACTGGCTGCGCTCAGTGGGCAAAATGACAGTGCCAGGTGCTCAGTTAATACGTGGTGCCTGAACAAAGGAACCACTGATGCCAATGTTAATCCCCCCCCCCCCCCGGCCCCGGGCTAGGGGGGCTGTGTTGGTGCTCTGGGAGGAATGGGAGAGGCTGGAATAGGGATGCAGTCCTGGGTTTAGGGCAGAGTTTGGCACTGGGCAAGCAGCAATCTACAAACCGACTGAAGGCCTGCCTTTGTCAAGTTTACATTCTAGTCAGGAAACCAATGATAAGCAAGCAAACTATGTAATAAAGAAGTTAGTGGTGTGTGCTAAGGAAGGAACAGCAGGGAGGGAGCAGAGGAACTGGTGTGTGGAGCAGGGAAGTGGACTGTAATTTTAGACACTGTGGTCGAAGGAAAGCTTCTCAGAGATGATGTTGGGGTGAAGACCTACAGGCTTGATGGAGGAACCATTCTGATCTATCAGGGAACAAAGTGTTCCCGTGAAAGAACAGGAAGCAGGAAGGGGTGGGCCTGGATGTCTCAGGCTCAGCAAGGAGCCTTGTGTGGCTGGAGCAGAGGGAGAAGGGGAGAGTAGCGGAGAGGTCAGAGGTAAGGGGACAGTGCCAGACAGTGGCCCTGACTAGGTGTCCTACAGTTTAACTCAATTCTCTGCTACCCAGAGACAGCGTCAGATCGCACAGGTGAAGGGCCCAGTCCCACAAGACTGCCCCCTCCTCCTTCAGATGCCAATCGCAAATCCAGGTTGTTACCTGTGCTTCTCACCGTTCAGCCTGAAGTTAGAGATTCCTGTAACCCCTGCTGTGGGTTCAATTAATTTGCTAGAGCCACTCATAGAACTCAGAAAACCAATTTACCTACGGGGTGACTGGTTTATTACAAAGAATATTGAAGGATACAAATGAATGGCCAGATAAAGGGATTCTGAGAGTGAGGTCTTGAAGGATCTGGAGCACAGAAGCTTCTGTCCCCATGGTATTTGGAGTGTGCCACCCTCCTGGCGCCTGGAAGTGTTCTGCTTCACCCACCCAGAAGCATGCTGAAACTTGTAGTTCAGAATTTTTTTATGGAGGCTTCATTACATAGGCCGAATTGATGAAATCATTGGCTTTAGGTGATTGAGTCTACCTCCTGCCCCTCCAGAAGTGGATGTGGCAGTGGGACTGACAGGTCCCACCCTCTAATTGTGGTTGGTTTCCCTGGCAACCAGCCTCCATCCTTAGGGGCTTTCCCAAAATGCCCCCATTAACATCAACTCAGATGTGGTTCAAAGGAGTTTGTTATGAATTACAAAAGACCCACAGTTCACCTTTTTTCCACACGGAGACTATTTCAGGAACTGAGGACAAAATACCAAATATAACAAAAGATGATCCCATTGCTCAAGTCACTTAGGAAATTCCAAGGATCTTGGGAGCTTTGAGGCAGGAACTGTGGATGAAGACCAAAATACAGATTTCTTAGTATAAATCACACTATCAAAATGGGAAGCCGTGAAGGGGGATTGGTGCAGAGGAATGATTTGATATGATTAATCTATCAACAGGATTACTCTGGCTGCTGTTTTGATAATAAATTATAATGGAGATAAGGGCAGAAACAGGGAAACCAGTTAGGAGATGGGGTGAAATAATTTTTCCTTTACCCGTGTAGGTTCTGGGATGAGACCAACCCCATGATAAAAGACAGACTAATAGGGGAGGAACAAACAGAAATTTAATAGCTTGTATGCCTCTTGTATACGTGGCAGATACCCAGGAAAATTGAGTAACTCCCCAAAATGGCCCAAGCCACCACCTTAAATGCCATCACAAGGGATGGGGATTGGATAGGGGGAGGGGAGTCAGTTATGGAAAGTTGCCAGGAAAAGCACAGTAAGCAAAACTATGGCTGTTTCACAGATTGGTGCCTTCATTCAGTCCTTGATTTTCTTTCTCTTGACTTTTACTATCTTGCATATTCTAATGATCTTCAGGTTTATATCTCCAGCCCAAATCTCTCTGCATAAGTCCAGACCTACATATCAAACTGCCTATTTGATAGCTCTTTGGGATAGCTATTGGGTATTACGAACTTAACATGTCCAAAATCGAACTACTGATATTCTTTAATACCTACCCTTCTTGTCTTTCCTAATTGAGTTAATGACAGTTCTTCCAGTTGCTCTGCCAGAAAACTTGGTATCATCTTTGACTCGTGTCTTTTTCTTTTTCATACATGTCTCATCTAATCTGTCAGCAGATCTTGTCAGGTCTTCCTTCAAACTATATCCAGAAGCCAAACACATCTTCCATGACCAAGCCACTATCATCTGTTGTGTGTATAAGTGTAATAATTAACTAATTGGTCTTCTTGTTTGTTCTTTTGTCTTTTCTCTGTTTCCATTAATTCTAAACACAGTGGATCTATTAAAACGTAAGTCAGATTATGTCTTCCTCTGCTCAAAACCTAATTGCCTCCTATTTCACTCAGAGTACATGCCAAAGTTCTTTCTAACACCTACAAGGCCTTGTATGATCTGTTCATCTTGGTCTCTCCCTATCCCTTACTGCCTCACTCCTATTTTTGTCCCTTTCAGAATACCCTCATGCCTTGCTTGCTCCTTGCTCCTTCCTTTTTTTTTTTTCCCCTTCAATTTTTTGCTTAAAAGTTACTTTCTTAGCAAGGCCTTTCTTGGTTATCCTGATTACCTCTTTCCCTACAGCACATCAAAATTTGATTTCTCTGCTTTAGTTCTTCTTCTCTAGTACTATCTTGCCTGGGTCATTTATTGTTATTGTGTTTATTCACTCATGACTAGGATTTTTATCTGTTCATCGCCATGTCCTCAGTGCCTAGAAAACATTCTAGCATATATAGTTCTATTCAACAAATGTTTATTGAGTGAATGGAGTTTAACCTGCATGTGTTGTTTTTTAACATCATACTAACTCTCACTTAAACAAAAAGAAAGTTTGATATGGGTCCATTCTGACAATTTAATCTGTCAGTTGTATGCATTTTTTTTATTTGGGGGGGGGCCAATATTGTGGTTACTTGCTATTTATTCTTTTACTGGTATTTAGGTTAGTTTTAATTATGGTAAAATGGATCAGAGGAATAGCAAACTTCATTTATATTTTATTAAGGAAAATGAAATATGGTGGTAAATTATAGGACTTTAAAAATACTTGCCAAAGGATTATGAGCCCTCAATATCTGAAATAAAAAGATGAAGTTGGAATTTATTGCCTACTAGTAAGATAGACCTATGCTGGTCACTTACAGTCTTTTCTGACAGAGCAGTCTGCTATTCTTATATAGGGTTTTGGGAAGAGTAGAGTGGAAGGTTTGGGGGACTTTCAGAGAATTAAGTGGTTTGTCATCATCTGAAACACCATGGTAATTTGGGTGAGACTGTTGTTGATTGGTTGGCACATGAGGCACGTGTATGGAACGGTTTTGTCTCCTATTGGCTTTCTTTTAGAAGGGAGGAGCTGACACTGCTTGGTGGGTGAGTGAGGCCAGTGGGCATTGATCAGTCGCACACATTTAAAACTGGTTGTCGTGGCTTCTTGTTCCCATGGCTTCATATTTGGGTTCCACCCCCCAAGTTTGAGGTGACTTTAACTACATGTTTTCTATTTAAAAGTTGCTTCTATCAACTGTGATCAAAAAGAAAGCTATTTCATATTCTGTAATTATAGATTTATTTTTGAGATTTGGGTTAAGAAGAACTGTTTAATAATTGCCCTCAGGAAGATCCTTCTTTTTTGGATGTTAAATTTTAACTAGAAGAGTTATCTGTGTAACAGTTTTAAAACAATAATTGCTAGCTCTGTTTTTGTTTTCAGTGCTCTTAGGGGCTCGTGTTCAATTCCTAAATTAATAATCTCCTGTGGGAAATTTCAGTCTTTTGTAAATTTATGTAGCTATATGCTGCTCATATTCTCTTGCATACATTTAGTCCATGAAAAAGTAATTATAATTTTCTGTTGGTAAATCTAGCTTTGTATATTAGGATTAAATACTAGACTAAAAGTATACAAAAGTTTCCAAATCATTTTCTTTAAAAAAATTAAATTTTTTTAAATTTATTTGTAAGAGAGAGATAGAGAAAGAGAGTAAGAGTGAGCGCACAAGCAAGGGAGGGGCAGAGGGAGAGGTAGAAGCTCAGTGGGGAGCCTGAGGCAGGGCTAGATCCCAGGACCTGGAGATTATGACCTGAGCCAAATGCAGACACTTAACCAACTGAGCCACCCAGGCACCCCCAAATCATTTTATTTTCAAACAAAATTAACCAGGTTATTGCTATTTTTGAGTGATATATATAGTGACATATGAGTACTTTTGAATTTTCTCCAGATTTATTGAGGTATAATTGACAGATAACTGTGTAAGTCTAAGGTATACCTATATTAATTTAATACACTTTTATATAGTAAAATGGTAATAGTGTTAATAACTCCATCGTCTCACATAATTATCATTTCTTTTTTAGCAACTCTCTTAGCAACTTTCAAATATATAATACAGTATTGTTAACTGTAATCACCATTCTGTACATTAGACCCTCAAAACTTACTACTCTTGTAACAGGAAGTTTGTATCCTTTGGCCAATATCTACCCATTTCCCACAGCCTCCTACCCCTGGCAAGCACCAGGGTGAAAATTTGTTGGTTTTTTTTTTAAGTTTCTACATGTAATTCAGATTATACAGTATTTGTCTTTTTGTGTGACTTATTTCATTTAGCATAATTCCCTCCAGGTTCATTTATGTTGTTGCAAATGGCAAGGTTTCCTCTTTTTTGTGGCTAAAATATTCCACTGTAAATATATACCACATGTTTTAAACCCATGGATCCATTGATGGACACTCAGGTTGCTTCCCTGTCTTGGCTATTGTAAATAATGCTGCAGTAAACAGGGGTACAGATACCTCTTCGAGGTAATGATTTCATTTCCATCAGAAATGTTGCCAGAAATGGGATTACTGTGTCATATGATAGTTCTATTTTTAGTTTTTTGAGGAACCTCCACAGTGTTTTGCATAGTGGGTGTACCAATTTACAGTCCCATAATGGTGTGCAAGGATTCCCTTTTCTGTACCTCTTTGCCAGTGGTATCTCTTGTCTTTTTGATGAAAGCCATTTAACAGGTGTGAGGTGATAGATATATCATTGTGGTTTTGATTTGCGTTTCCCTGATGAATAGTGATGTTGAGCCCCTTTTTTGGTACCGTTGGCCATTTGAGTATCTTCTGAGGAGAGCTGTCTATTAAGGTGCTTTGCTGAGTTTTTATTTGAATTATTTGTTTTTTGCTGTTGAATTGTGTGATCTCCTTACATATTTTAGATATTAACCTTTTTTCAGATATGTGGTTTGCAGATATTTTCTTCCATTCTGTAGGTTGCCTTTTCATTATGTTACTTGTTTCTTTTTTGTTTTTTAGATTTTATTTAAATTCAAGTTAGTTAACCTATATTGTTTTATTAGTTTCAGGGCTGGACTTTAGTGATTCATCACTTGCATGTAATACCCAATGCTCATCGCAAGTGCCCTCCCTGATGCCCATCACCCAGTTACAGCATCTTCCCACCCACCTCCCCTCCAGCAGCCCTCAGTTTGTTTCCTATAGTTCAGAGTCTCTTATGGTTTTCCTCCCTCTCTGTTTTTAACTTATTTTTCCCTTCCTTCCCCTATACTTGACGTAAATGGAACTAGAGTGTTGCTTGTTTCTTTTGCTGTGGAGAAACATTGTTCCATTGTTTTTGCTTTTGTTGCTTGTACTTTGGATGTCATATCCAAAATCATTGCCAAGATCAATGTCAGGGAGTGTTTTCCCTGTTTTCTTGTAGGAGTTTTATGGCTTAAGGTTGTCCATTTAAGTCTTTAATCCAGTTTGGGTTAATTTTTGTGAGTGATGTAAGTTAGGGGTCCAGTTTCATTCTTTTGCATGTGAATATCCAGTTTTCTCAGCATCATTTATTGAAGAGATTATCTTTTCTTCTTTAAGCGTTCTTGACTGTATGCATGGGTTTATTTTTGGGTTCTTGATTCTGTTTCATTGGTCTTTGTTTGTTTGTTTTTTTAAAGATATTTTTTATTTATTTATTTGACAGAGAGACAGCGAGAGAGGGAACACAAGCAAGGGGAGTGTGAGAGGGAGAAGCAGGCTTCCCGCAGAGCAAGGAGCCCGATGCGGGGCTCGATCCCAGGACCCTGAGATCATGATCTGAGCCGAAGGCAGAGGCTTAACGACTGAGACACCCAGGCGCCCCTTTTGTGTTTGTTTTGATGCAAGTTCCATATACTGTTTTGGTGACTATAGCTTGGTAACAGTTTGAAAACAGGAAGTGTGATGCTTCCACCTTTGTTGTTCTTTCTCAGGACTGCTTTGGCGGTTTGGGGTCTTTTTTGTTCCATACAAATTTAAGGATTGTTTTTCCTATTTCTGTGAGAAATGTCACTGGAATTTTGACAGAGATTGCATTGAATCTGTAGATGGCTTTGAATAATGTGGATATGTAATATTAATTTTTCCAATCCATAAACAACTAGATATCTTCCTATTTGTGTCTCTGCTCTTTCTTTTATCAAAGACTTGTAGTTTTTAGTGTACATATCTTTCACCTCCTTCATTGGATAATTTGAAAGTCTTAAAATTTGAAAATTTTAAATTCACAGATTTTTTTTTCTGATCCATTTTAGTGTCAGTGATTTCTATTGTTTTTTTTTGCATTTCATTCACTCTATTATTCAGCTCCAGAATTTTTGTTTAATTTTTTTTTACTATTTCCAGCTCTTTTTCAAAAAAAGATTTTATTTATTTATTTGAGAGAGAGAGAGAAAGAGAGCAAGTCAGGGGAGGGACAGAGAGAGGGTGAGAGAATCTCAAGCAGACCCGGAGGTCGATCCCACGACCTTGAGATCATGACCTGAGCCGAAATCATGAGTCAGACACTTAACTGACTGAGCGACCCAGGTGCCCTTCCAATGCTATATTAAACTTCTCATTTTATTCATATAGTGTTTTTCTCATTTTATTGAATTGCCTTTTTTTTTTTAAGATTTTATTTATTTTAGAGAGAGCATGTGTGTGAGTGGGGGGAATAGCAGAGGGAGAGGGACAAGCAGACTCTACACTGAGCGTAAGCAGGATGCATAGCTGGATCTCATGACCTGAGACAAAATCAAGAGTCAGACGCTTAAGTGACTGAGCCACCCAGGCACCCCTGAATTGGCTTTTTGTGTTTTCTTGTAGCTCATTAAGTTTCCTTAAAACTGCTCTTTTGAATTCTTTTTTGGATAAATTACAGATCTCCATGTGTTTGAGATCAATTACTGGAAGATTTGGTGTCATATATCCTTGACTTTTTATATTCTTTGAAGTTTGGCATTGCTGTCTTTGCTTTTGAAGTAGCCTTTAATGACTACCTTTCCAATGTGTCCAAACCTGATTTTTTTTTGCTCTGGTGGTGTGCTGGAACTTTTCTGCAGGAAATCTGGTTTTCCAAAAAGTCTCTCTCATCCATGGGTGATTATCTAAGACAGTGTTTTCCAGGGGCTCCCAGATGTGTCGGAGAGGAAGGGGCTGGAACCAGTTTATGGGCTATTGCTGGGTCCACAGCTGGACATGTAGTGAGTGTGCCCATTACCCGATGCATGGGTAGGCAAGACTTTTCCTAGGTGCCTTGGTGTATGGTCCTTGATTCCACAGCTCCTACAAAGAGATCCATAGCAGTTTTGTCCCCACAAATGACATTGTATTATAATTGTATATTTATCTTTCTTTGAAGCAAGGGATGTGTATTTCCTTGTATATGGTTGGATTTCATAACTGTTCTGTGAATTAATAAATGTTCATTGAGATGGGTAACAGAATTTTACAAAAAAATTGTTTTTATTCTTTACCAGTAAAATTATTAGAAAACATTGGCTTTTTAATGGATATTTTAACTGGATTTTTTAAAGTAGTGATCCTGGTTTGCATATGAAGGAAGTAAGGAGAGATGAAAATGAAAAATGGACATCAGAAGTATCTGTGATTACAGCAGGGCTTGAGGAGGCGGATTCCCTACCTTCTCGTCCAGTACAAGTGAATGATGACAACACTTCAAGTGAAATGGATCAGGATGAAGTAAGGTAAAATCTATAAATTCTTTATTTCCCTCTGAAGGAAGTTTAGCAGTGATTACTTTTTATGGAAATAAAACGCTGTCGTGTAGGTACAGGCTAAGGCAAGAAATACTCAAGTATATCAGATACACTGCTTGAAAGGTTAAGATGAGGACAGGTGACTTTGACAAGGAGCAGTTTCAAAGGGACCATGGAAGCTGGACTGTAATGAATAAGTATAAACAACTCCTTAGAGAATTTTTACGGGGAAAGGTAATAGAGAAATGGATGACAGCTGAAAGAGAATGTGGAATTCAAGGGAATTTTCTTTCTTATTTAATTTTAAGATGGGAGCTTTTAGAGTACATTTGTATGCTGCTGGAAATGATCCAATAGAGGGAGGCATGGTTATTTAATTTTGTTTGCATTTCCAAATATTAGAAAGCTTATTGGTTGTATTACATTATCTTATTTTTTTAAGATTTTTTATTTTTTATTTGACAGAGAGAGAGTACAAGGAGGGGGAGCGGCAGGCAGAGGCAGAGGGAGAAAGAGGAGCAGGCCCCCTGCCCAGCAGGGAGCCCGATGTGGGACTCCATCCCAGGACCCCGGGACCATGACCTGAGCCAAAGGCAGATGCTTAATGACTGAGCCACCCAGGCGCCCCTGTATTATATTATCTTTTAAAGATTACAGTAATTGTTCTTAGTACTCCTATTCATGTAGTTTTGTGGCAAGAGGTTGTTTTTATGTTTTTTTGTTTTTAAGATTTTATTTATTTGACAGATGAGACATAGCGAGAGAGGAAACACAAGCAGGGGGAGTGGGAGAGGGAAAAGCAGACTCCCGCTGAACAGGGAGCCCGATGTGGGGCTTGATCCCAGCACCCTGGGACCATGACCTGAGCCGAAGGCAGATGCTTAACGACTGAGCCACCCAGGTCCCTGTGGCAAAAAGTTGTTGATTCAGAATTGGTTCCCCAGTGGAGTATTCTCATATGATTGAATGTGCAGAGAGTATCATTCATAGACTTAAAAGTATATAAATGATAGTAAATATACAAACTCTTAGGCCATTCTGAGTAGAACTAATCATTCCTTGATGATTTTAGATATTCAGTGCCTTTGACAGAATCATGAAGAGCTATGGTTTTGTTAGGGACTTTGAAGTATCTGGTTGCATTAAGTTAATATTTGTTTCGATTCTGGGGAAAGGGGAAAGGCTTTATTTATAATTGAAAAATAAACTATTATTCTATCATAGATTATTACTTTTAGATTATAAAGTTCTAAATGACAAAAGCCATGGTTCCTGTACCAACAGTGTCATTGACACATATTGTGTGCTCAATAAGTATATATTTGTGAATAAACAGTTGAATAAATAGATGAATGCCATTGATGAACTTCTTCAGAAGAAGCAGATCTTTAGTTTATGGAAAGTAGATTTTCAATATTGCCTAGGTATGAAGTCTTCTTATTTTAAAAAAATATTCATAAATTTTTATTTATAATTATAGCTAGAATAGAATAATAGTAGATTCATTTGCTGTCATATTACTTGGAAACTCTTAAATATTACCTTCACCACATAGTGTAAAACACACGTTTTGAAGGCACAGATCCTGGATTTGAATTCTGGGTCTACTCCTGCCCAGCTGTATGGGCTTGGGGAAGTTACTTATTTCTGTGCCTCATTTTCTTCCTGTGTAAAATGCCTAATATAATTACCTATGTTTATAAGATTGTTGGGAGGCTTAAAATACTTTTAAGATGTGTAAGGTGTTCATAATAATGCATAGTAGTTGTACAGTAAATCCTCAAAACACTAGTATCATGATTACTAAAAAAGGGTTTCTTTCATATAAGAACTTAACTTGCACTTTCCCAATAGTTTTTAGAGCCAATAAAAGCTTGTTTTTATAGAAAATGACAACAAAAAATGTGGTCTATTTCTTCGTATCAAATAATGCAAGTAACATTATGCTTTTCCTTTGCTTTATGTCCATTTGATCTAAATTTAATGCTTTGTTAATATTATTAATAATATTGTTTAGATATGATTTAGATATTTTTTGTATTTTAAGTATTTAATACTTGCCTGAAAAGAATTGTTCTTTTTTTTAGGCCTGCAAAGAAAACATCTCATGAAAAGAAAGAGGTAAAAAAATATGCATAATTCTATTTCATTTATTTTTTTTAATTTTGGCTTTATTATATTACTTTGATAAATAATATTTATTAGAAATATTATTCCATGGTAAAAAATTACTTTATGAAGGGCATAGTGAAAACAGAGAAAATCTTCCTTTGTTGTATAGACATTTATTGTGAAAAAGTTTTTCAGAAGTGGGCGCCTGGGTGGCTCAGTCGTAAAGCGTCTGACTTCGGCTCAGGTCATGATCCCAGAGTCCTGGGATCGAGCCCAACATCAGGCTCCCTGCTCTGCGGGAAGCCTGCTTCTCCCTCTCCCACTCCCCCTGCTTGTGTTCGCTCTCTGGCTGTCTTTCTCTCTGTCAAATAAATAAAACCTTTAAAAAAAAAAAGTTTTTCAGAAGTACTAATTATTGATAAAGGTTGTTTTGATAAAAATCAGTTATTTTATTTATTTATTTATTTTAAAAGCAATTTTTTTTTAAGATTTTATTTATTTATTTGTGTGAGAGAGAATGAGAGAGAGCACATGAGAGGGGGGAGGGTCAGAGGGAGAAGCAGACTCCCTGCCGAGCAGGGAGCCCGATGTGGGACTCGATCCAGGGACTCCGGGATCATGACCTGAGCCAAAGGCAGTTGCTTAACCAACTGAACCACCCAGGCGCCGAAAATCAGTTCTTTTAAAAAGTACCTATGTTTTTGCTCTTATAGAAAGATGGGTATTTATCATCTCTCTACACTTAGTATATTTTATGAATATTTGGGGGACATTTTGAAATAGTATTTTTTATTTGTAAGTCAAAAAGCAAATTAATTTTATGGATGACCTTGACTTAACTGAGTCATCTGGAACAGTTTCAGAGGATTTCAGGTTGCCTTGCTCTAAGTATATGAGTTGCAAGTCGCTAATTGTACAAGTTGGCCAGGATCATAAAGGTAGGACCATTGTATAAGTAGAAAGCCTTTGTATGCATATTACTGTAGTAATATGTGCCCATCTTGTATAGTGCTGTACCACACAACACTCATGAGCTACTCATCTCAGAAATATGTTTTATATGAGAATAGAGAACTGTTGAATACTCTCAGCCAAAGGGCTATAATTTCCACTCTATGTTTTGTCATGGGAATGGCACACCTGATGTGTTGTTAACTCCGCTTCTCTTCTGTGCCTTCACCCAAGGTCAGGTTACCATTATTTTTCTCCTAGAATACTGAAATAGCCTCAGGACTGTTTTCCCTGTCATTCCACCTCCCAGAATCTTGGTCTACACTGCAACCATAGTTATCATAATCTTTAAAAATTCATGTTTCATCACGTTACCCCCTTGCTTAAAGCTTAGCTACTACTTCTCATTGCTCTAAGGTGAAAGACCACAGTACTCTAGCTTCATCTTGTATTGTTTCATATCCTTCTTCTTTTTTTTTTTTTATTTTAAAGATTTTATTTATTTGACAGAGAGAGACACAGCGAGAGAGGGAACACAAGCAGGGAGAGTGAGAGAGGGAGAAGCAGGCTCCCCGCCGAGCAGGGAGCTGGATGCGGGGCTCGATCCCAGGACCCTGGGATCATGACCTGATCCAAAGGCAGACGCTTAACGACTGAGCCACCCAGGCGCCCATTTTTCATATCCTTCTTTCCATCTGTGTCTCAGCCACTGTTTTAGATGTTTTTTCCTATAATAGAGCATTTTCCCCCCCCAACAGCTTTAGTTAGGTAAACTGCACATATATGAAGTGTATAATTTGATAGTTTTGACATATGTATATGCATCTGAAACCATAACCGTAATTCAGACAGTTAACATATCTATCACCCATAAGTCTCATGTCTCTTTATATTCCCTTGTTACGAAACTGCCAAATTGTTTTCTAAAGTAGTTGTATCATTTTCCATTCCCACCAGCAGTGTATGAGTTCTAATTTCTCCCTGTATATTCATGAACACTTAGTATTGTCAGTTTTTTAAAGCTTAGCCATTCTGATGGGTATGTAATATATATATCATTATGGTTTTAATATACATTTCCCTAATAACTGATAATGTTGAGCATATTTTCATGTGCTTATTTGCTATCTGTATATCTGCTTTGAACTATCCAAATCCTTTGTCATTTTAAAAATTCGGTTGTTTTCTTATTTGTTGAGTTTTGAGAATTCTTTGTGTATTCTAGATATAGTTCCTTTATCACCTATATATATTTTTTCAGATTTTATTTATTAATGTGACAGAGAGAGAGACAGCTAGAGAGGGAACACAAGCAGGGGGAGTGGGAGAGGGAGAAGCAGACTCTCCGCTGAGCAGGAAACCCGACGTGGGGCTCGATCCCAGGACCCCAGGATAATGACCTGAGCCGAAGGCAGATGCTTAACGACTGAGCCACCCAGGCGCCCCTCACCTATACTTTTTTGTAAAGATTTTCTCCCAATCTGTGACTTTTCATTCTCTCAACAGTGTCTTTTTTTTTTTTTTTTTTTAAAGATTTCATTTATTTATTTGAGACAGAGAGAATGAGAGAGAGAGAGCACATGAGAGGAGGGAGGATCAGAGGGAGAAGCAGGCTCCCTGCCAAGCAGGGAGCCCGATGCGGGACTCGATCCAGGGACTCCAGGATCATGACCTGAGCCGAAGGCAGTCGCTTAAGCAACTGAGCCACCCAGGCGCCCTCTCAACAGTGTCTTTTGAAGAGCAGTTTTCTTTTTGATGAAATCCAGTTTATCCGTTTGTTCTTCTATGGATTTTTGCTTTTGGTGTTCCTATCTAAGAAATCCTTGCCTAGCACAAAGTCAGAGGTTTTCTCTCATGCTTTCTTTTAGAATTTTTGTAGTTTAAAATCGAAGTTTTATAGTTTTAGGTCTTACATTTAGATCTGTGATCCATGTGATCCATGTCATCCATTTTGTATTCTTTTTTTTTTTATGATTTTATTTATTTATTTGACAGAGAAAGAGAGAGCATGAGCAGGGGGAACGGCAGGCTGAGGGAGAGGGAGAAGCAGGCTCCCCGCTGAGCAGAGAGCTGGACATGGGGCTCGATCCCAGGACCCTAGGATCATGACCTGAGCCAAGGCAGACACTCAACCGAGACCCAAGGCGCCCCCATTTTGTATTCTTTTTTTTTGCTTATGATGCAAGGTATGGATCCACGTTCATGCTTTTTGCATATGGATATCCAGTTGTTCCAGCACCATTTGTTGAAAAGGCTATATTTTCTCCACTTCAGGCCATTGTGTCTTTGTCAGGATCAGTTGACCATATGTGTGTGGGTTTATTTATGGACTCTATTCTGTCCCATTGATCTCTTTGGCCTTCTTGATGTCAATGTCATGCTGTTTTAATTACTACCAGATTATGATAATTTTTGATATCAGGTACTTAGTGTTAGTCCTCCAGTTTTGTTCTTTTTCAGGGTTCTTTTGCTATTCTATCCTAGATCCTTTGTGTTTCCAGATCTTGAATTGTATTTATTTTATTTATTTACGTTTTCCACATGAATTTTAGAGTCAGCTTGTCATTTTCTTTTCTTTTTTTTTTTTTAATTTTTATTTATTTATTTGACAGAGAGAGACACAGCGAAAGAGGGAACACAAGCAGGGGGAGAGGGAGAGGGAGAAGCAGACTCCCAGCTGAGCAGGGAGCCCAATGCAGGGCTCGATCCCAGGACCCTGGGATCATGACCTGAGCCAAAGGCAGACGCTTAATGACTGAGCCACCCAGGTGCCCCCAGCTTGTCATTTTCTAAAAAAAAAAAAAAAAAAAAAAAACCAGCTCTGTGGGTCTTCTGGAGATCAGGTTTGGATTATGTTGAATCTACAGACTAATTTTAACAATATTGAATTTTACATCACCAAACAGAGTATCTCTCTCCAATTATATAAATCTTCTTTAATTTTCTTGGTAATATTTTGTAGTTTTTACTGTATAGGTCTTTTCATCCTTTATGATATTACCTGTGGTTATTTTTTATTTTTCAATGCAGTTTCAATTTTTTAATTAATTAAATTAATTTTAATTCTTAAATTTTAATTTTTTATTGCTAATATGTAGAAATACAGTAGATTTTTGTATAATGATTCTGTGTCCTCCAATGTTGATGAGTTCATTTATTAGTTCTAGTAGCTTTTTAAAAAATTCTGTCAGATTTTCTACATAACCAAAGGTTATCAAACTTTAACTGCTGTTTTACTAATTTCCTAAGGTGGAGCCAAGGGTCATCAATTTGAGACTTTTCTTCTTTTTTAATATATACATTCAGTGCTGTAAATGCTCATATGAGTGCTTCTATTGCAGGATTTCAGAAATTCTAACATGTTATGTGTATTCAGTTCAGAATACTTTCTAATTTCATTTTTCAGTACTTCTTTGACCCAGGGGTTATTTAAAGATTTTATTTATTTGAGAGAGAGAGAGAGCCTGAGCTGGAGGGGAAGCAGCCTTCCCTCTGAGCAGGGAGCCAAATGTGGGGCTTGATCCCAGGACCCTGAGATCATGACCTGAGCTGAAGGCAGATGCTTCATCAACTGAGCCACCCAGGTGCCCTGACCTAGGGGTTATTCAGATGTGTGTTAATTAGTTTGTGGTCGCAGAGCACACTTTTATGACTTCAGTCCTTTTGACTTTCTCCTTTTATTACAATTTATTTTATGATCCAAAATATAGTCTCTTTTGGTAAGTGTTCCATGGATACTTGAGAAGAATGGTGGTGTTCCAGTCTACTATATCCTTGCTGATTTTCTGCCTATTGAAATCTCAGACTAAAACTGTGAATTTGCCTGTTTCTCTGTAATTCTGTCGATTTTTGCTTTATGTATTTTTGAACCTATTAATTGATGCATAAACATTTAGGTTTGTTATGCTTCTTTTAATTGGCTTTTCTATCATTATAAAATGACCTAATTTATTGCTGCTAATGTTTTTTGCTTTGAAATCTATTTTGTCTCGTATTAATATAGCCACTCCGGCTCAGCGTTCTTTTGTCAGGTTGTTAGTGTGGTCTGTCATATTTCTGGCCTTTTAAAAAATTTGTGTCTTTACACTTAAAGCGTATTTTTTTAATAGGTGGCATATAGTTGGGTCTTCCTTTTTCATCCATTTTGACAGTCTGACTTTTAATTGAGGCTTTTAGACCATTTTCATTTAATGTGATTATGGATGTAGTTGATTTGAATCTGTCATCGAATTGTTTGACTTCTATTTGTCTTTTCTGCTTTTTGCTATTCTCCTCTTTCTGCTTTCTTTTAAATTGATCAAGTAATTTTTATGATTTAGTTTTATTTATGTGAGTATGTATATGTATGTATTTTGCTTACTCTAGCTATAACTCTTTAGTTGTGCTATTTTAGTGATTAGGGTTTAAAGTATATGACTTAAGCATCACAGTCCACCTTTGAGTAATGTTATGCCCCATCATAGTAGTTTAAGAAAACTATAATAGCTTACTTCCATTTCTTCTCTCCTAGCCAGATTCTTCTGGATCTGTGGGATGATAGTTTTCATTATTTAGAAAGGTTTTGGTCATTTTTTCTTTTCTTTTTTAAAGATTTTATTCATGTATTTGAGAGAAGGAGAGTGAGAGTGCACGAGAGGGGATGGGGCAGGGCAGAGGGAGAAGCAGACTCCCCAGTAAGCAGGGAGTCTGACACGGGACTTGATCCCAGGACCCTGAGATCATGACCTGAGCTGATGGCAGACACTTAACTGACTGACCCACCCAGGCACCCCTAAAATATCTTTTATATTGAAGTCATTCAATATATATTTGTTTAAAGTATGAGTGAGTGAATGTGAAAGCACACAGTCCTTTATATGCAAAAAGTACTCACATATTTTATTTCTTTTTTTTTAAAGATTTAATTAAATTATTTGAAAAAAATATATTAAAAAAAAAAATAGGGTGCCTGGGTGGCTCAGATGGTTAAGCGTCTGCCTTCGGCTCGGGTCATGATCCCGGGGTCCTGGGATCGAGCCCCACGTCGGGCTCCCTGCTCGTGGGGAGCCTGCTTCTCCCTCTGCCTCTCTCTCTCTCTGTCTCTTATGAATAAGTAAATAAAATCTTAAAAAAAAAATATTTAAATTATTTGAGAGAAAGAGAGCATGAGTGGGGGGTGGGAGAGAAGAACAGAGGGGAAGGCGGGGGGAGAATCTCAAGCAGACTCTGTGCTGAGTGTGGAGCCCGACGTGGGGCTCGATCCCACGAGTCTGAGATTATGACCTGTGCCAAAACCAAGAGTTCGACGCTTAACCAACTGAGCCACCTAGGCGCCCTATATATTTTATTTGTTTTTGTTTTTTCTCTGATGTAGATTCTACTACTTTACTAAAAATCCAGGATGTGATTCTTTCATATCAAAAATTAGTAGAACTTAAAAATCAGTGTAAACAACTTAAAAGAAAAAATAAAGAAATGGAAAATAAAGTTAATGGACTACAAAAGGAGCTATCAGAAACAAAAGAATTGAAATTGCAGTTGGAGCATCAAAAAGTGAAATGGGAACAAGAACTCGGCAGTTTGAGGTATGACATCTTGGTTTTAAGGAAATATTTGAACTATTTACCTTTTTTTTTTTTTAAGAGGCTCCACAGCCAATGTGGGGCTTGAACTCACAGCTGTGAGGTCAAGAGTCGCATGCTCTACCAACTGAGCCAGTCAGGTGCCCCTTGAACTCTTTACTTTTGTACTACAGATGTGTAGGAGAAGTTTGATAATTGCTAACTTACCTTCTGGAATTTTTATAGGGAAGAAAACGTCTTTAGTAGTGTGAAGTATGAGATTCTTCAAAATAATTCAGCAAGTTCTTGACAGTGAATACTTCTACTGATAATTTAATGTATATTCCAAATCATAATTTTAATGACCATATAGAAGTCCACCATATGGAATCCTCATTATTTAACAAATTGCATTTTGGTTATTTTCCATTTTTCTCTACTTTAATTAGTGCTGTAAGGAATGTCTTTTATATAAATCTATTTCTACAATTCTGGTTACTTACTTGGAATAAATTCTTCAACATAGTATTGTTTGTTTAAAGTATAAAAAAATTTTTTTTAAAGATTTTATTTATTTATTTGAGACAGAGAGAATGAGAGACAGAGAGCATGAGAGGGAGGAGGGTCAGAGGGAGAAGCAGACTCCCTGCTGAGCAGGGAGCCCGATGTGGGACTCGATCCCGGGACTCCAGGATCATGACCTGAGCCGAAGGCAGTCGCTTAACCAACTGAGCCACCCAGGCGCCCCTAAAGTATAAAAATTTTTAAAGGAGGTCTTTGATTCTATTTTTAAATTGTTCTCTGGGAAGTTTATATTAATTTATATGCCCATCAACAGAGTATGAAATGGCCATTTATTTCAAGATAGCAAAAATTTTAAAAATTTATTCAGTTTTAAACATATACAGCAATTAAAAAGTAAAGTGGAAAATGATTACTGCTAAGTTTTTTCAAAATCTCTCTTATAAAATTAATCCAAAAGTCTATGCTGTAAGCACATATAACTCTTTATTGTTTACTTAATTAATATGGATCCTGTGTTCTAAAAGGGGTTTTCAAATGATTTATAAAATGGATAATAGGGGCACCTGGGTGGCTCAGTTGGTTAAGGGTCTGCCTTCGGCTCAGGTCATGATCCCAGGGTCCTGGGATCGAGCCCCATCTCCAGATCTCTGCTCGGTGGGGAGCCTACTTCTCCCTCTCCCTCTGCCTGCTGCTCCCCCTGCTTGTGCTCTCTCTCTCTGTCAAATAAATAAATAAAATCTTTTAAAAAAGTAAAATGAATAATAATCAACAGGGTAAATTGAGAATATTGCAGAAGAAGAAACATAAAATGTATAGGGCTATCTATATAAAATGTATAGATATTAGACTCCCCAAGCTAGTCCTGGATCACCATAATCTACAGGTGTATGTTGTGTAAATGACATCTGCAGATGCTGTCTTATACTGCAAATTATTTTTGGAGGTACCTGTGATGTTTTGTGAAGTAGAAATTTACTTCTAGTGAATTTATAAACTTTCTTATAAAGAGCAACTTCTATTTTTATTTAGTAACTAAATTATCTGTTCTAATGGAGGAGTAATTATGACTATATGGGGAAAATGATAATTTTTAATTCTAACTTTCTTGAATAATTTCAAAATTCCTTTCTCTACAATATCTACCAGAGTTAGTACTAAAACTTATTACTAAGCTGCATAATGATTTCTCATTGCTTCTTTTCAACTATATATATTTTTTGGAAGAGATTGAAGTGAGAAAGTAAACATGAGCCCAAGAAAGGAAAAAAATTGAGAACATAGAAATTTCATTTGGCTAATAAACCAACATATGTGGAACCAGATCATAAAACGAACTTTTTATTGCTTTCAAAACATTTTAAAATAAGCAAACTTATTTGCAGATTTACCTTCACACAAGAAGAAGAAAAAAGAAGAAATGCTGATAAATTATATGAAAAAATGAGGGAGCAATTCAAAGAAAAAGAAGAGCAGTATAATAAAGAAGTTGAAATGAAAGAACAACTTGAACTTCGTCTTGCAACAGTAGGTGCGGAATTGAGGACTGTAAGAAATAATTTGGATCAGGTAAATCTTTGATAAAAATTGCATATTTCCATCAGTATTATTTATAATATACCCTTGATTTTATGTATATTATTTAGGTATAAAATAGATAAAAAATTTAATTTTATCCTAATAGGAACTATAATATTTTTAGCTAAAATTATTAACTTATTGGAATTCTTGTCTTCTCATATATACTGAGATAAATGTGAATGTTGGCTTTTTTTTTTTTAAGATTTTATTTATTTTTAGAGAGAGAGCATGAGCAAGGGAAGGAGTAAAGGGGGAGGGAGAGGGAGGGAAAAGAATCTCAAGCAGACTCTGCGCTGAATGAAGAGCCCAACTCAGGGTTGGATCTTACAACCCTGAGACCATGACCTGAGCCAAAACCAAGGGTAGGACACTTAACCAACTGAGCCACCCAGGCACCCCAGTTTTGAATTTTTTATGTTAAAATAGAGGCTCAATCGCCTTGAGACTATGATGGAACTAGTTAAATGTTTTGTAAAGAAATTTTACTTTCACATACTCTATCTTCTTGTATTTTTACCTTATGACAAATTTAGCTGTCATTTAAATTAAAATTTGAGTTATTCATTCAGGATAAAATCCTTGTATTTAAAAAAGCTACTTCTTTTGAACATTATTTTTAAGTTCTCTTAAGCTTTTCATTTTTTTTTTAAAGATTTTATTTATTTATTTGGCAGACAGAGAGAGAGAGAGCACAAGTAGGCAGAGAGGCAGGGAGAGGGAGAGGGAGAAGCAGACTCTCCACCAAGCAGGGAGCCCAATGTGGGGCTCGATCCCAGGACCTGGGATCATGACCTGAGCTGAAGGCAGCCGCTTAACTGACTGAGCCACCTAGGCGCCCCTGACTTTTTTTTTTTTAATGGTGTGATCCAAAATCCGAATGAAAATATGTTTCTAGGTTGTAGAAGAGCGAAATGACGCTAAGTTACAACTTTCTCGAGAACAGAATGCCAGAGTACAAGATGGAATTCTAAAGAATCACCTTTGCAAACAAAAGGAGATAGAAGTGGGTAATAACAGAATGAATTCTGGGGTATTTTCTTTAGTTATTTTTAAGTACATGTGTGTATGTATTTATATGTATATACATTTTATTTTCTGAAATTATTATTTTTTCTCCATGTATGCATATATATATTTTAAAAACCAACACTGTAGATCATGGAAAGCATAGAGGATTTTTAAAGCATATATATGTGTGTGTGTGTGTGTGTGTGTGTGTATTTGGGGGCCATAGGGGGCGGTGACATTTTTGGTCCAGTGGATAAAGTAATATCCTTAATTTAAATGCGTTTGTCTGCAAGAGTCAAATAGTGACATTCATCATGTCCTCATCCAAAGGAGAGGCTTTTATTACTTTCCATAAGAATTGTTGAGCTTTCCATATGCTCAAAACTATTGCTACTAACAACATATGTTTCAATTTTTGGCAGTTACTTCATCACCTCTGTATTGAAAGAGAAGTTAGCTTAACACTGCCACTGATGAACAGGAGAAGAGTGTAGCCTGTTCAGAGACTTTCTTTTGGATTTAGTCTCTACTTTTGAGAAAAGTAGCAATTTGCTCCAAATAATATACTATTTCATTACAAGGCGCTTTTGAAACAATTATATGCTAATGATAATTTATTGATGAGTGTTTTATTCCTAATAAAATAGCTCCGTGTATTTTCCCCTATTTTAAACATCATGAAGAGGAAATAAAATTTATTGCAGCAGCAAATAATCTCATGATTTTTCTAACAGTTGTATAAATTTTACATTATTTACCATCAGGATTTTGAAATATAAGGCTTTTTTTGTATTTTTGATTTACACTAGAGAAGAGTTGCGGTTTGGTGTAAGAGACTAGTAGTGGAGTAAGAAGACCTGGGGAAAGTCCTGTAGCTCACTTAATGTTTTAAACCTGTCCATTCTAGATTTGTGATACTAAAAAGTTCACTGATGTCAGTAGAAGTGTTTATAGTACAGTGCCTAGATTTGTCAGTTATCAGTAGATGTAATTCTTATACGTGACTATAGAAATGTTAGAAAAGTAGAATTTGTATGGAATATTGTCAGGAAAAAAGAATTTTAGGAAATTGAATCTGTCAAAATAAAGGCAGAGCTCTGGATTTTATTGTGGGGTAGCTGTGTTAGATATCAGACTGTAAATTCAATTTTTAGTGTAATCAGATTTATTAATCTTTTATTTCAGGCTTTCTGGGTTTGTTGTAAATCAGAGAAAGACCTTTCCAGGTCTGAGATTCTTAAAAATTGTGTCTTGATTTCTTTTCTCCTTTCATGCATTCACTGTCTTCAATTAAATTTTTGAAACTTTGGGAATTTATGCTTGTATCAAGTTTGAGGTTTGGACCCAACTTTATTTTTTCCCGGTTGGGATATCCACTTACTGCAATCTGTTCATTGTATAAACATAGGTTATTCTTTAATTTCAGAGAAAATCAGGATAATGTCATTTTATTGAGTTCCAGCTAAAAGTCTCCTTTGTTTTACTAAGATGTCTAATAGTCATAAAGAAGAAAAAGATCTGTTGCCTAAAACCCACATGTGGCAGGATGAAGTTGCCATGCTAAGACTGGAAATAGACACAATAAACAGTAAGAACCAGGAAATGGAAACTAAATATTGTGAAGACATTGAAATTATAAAAGAAAAGAATGTCAGTCTTCTAAAGACCATAAAACTGAATGAGGAAACATTAACAAAAACAATATTAGAATATAGTGGACAGATTAATGCCCTGACCACTGAGAATACAATGCTAAAGTCTAAACTGGAGAATGAAAAGCAAAACAAAGAAAGACTGGACACACAAGTTGGATCATATCGAGCTAGACTAGCTACTGCTCTAGAGGATTATGATCAAAGTCAGGCGTCAAAAAGAGACCTAGAACTTGCTTTCCAGAGAGCAAAAGATGAATGGTTTCGTCTGCAGGACAAACTGAATTTTGATGTGTCTAACCTAAAAGAAAACAATGAGCTTCTTTCTCAAAACCTTTCTAAAGCTGAAAGTAAATTCAATAGTTTAGAAATTGAGCTCCATCACACAAGAGATGCTCTCAGGGAAAAGACTTTGGTTTTAGAATGTGTACAAAGAGACCTAAGTCAAACACAGTGTCAGAAAAAGGAAATGGAACACATGTATCAAAATGAACAAGATCAAGTGAATAAATACATTGGAAAGCAGGAATCCTTAGTGGAGAGATTATCTCAACTACAAAGTGAAAATATGCTGCTTCATCAGCAACTAGATGATGCTCACAACAAAGCTGCCAGTAAAGAAAATGTAGTAACTAATATCCAGGACCAGTTTCAGGGTATCGTACAAAAACTTCAAGCTGAAAGTGAAAAACACGGTCTTTGGCTGGAAGCAAGCAATAGAGAGCTAATCAATGAATGTAATCTTTTAAAAGAAAGAATGTATCAGTATGAAAAGGAGAAAGTAGAAAGAGAAGTAAGTATCCAGAAAGATAAATATTTTTCAAGCTTTCTAAGAGAAAATTCAAAGTAGTATTTGATTATTATTATTATTTTTAGAGAGAAAGAGTGCACCTGCACATGACTGGGAGTGGGGCAGAGGGAGAGGGAGAGAGAATCCCAAGAGGTCTCCACATCAGAGAACTCCACCTCATGCCCCCGAGATCGTGACCTGAATGATTATGGCTGAATTTTGAATCTACTTGAATATAAAAAATATATAGACTATGATTCAGCATAACTTGTATCCAGCAAATAAAAACTAGACTTGAGAGGTGCTTTAATTTGAATAAAATTGTTGTGTCATCTATGAAAGTTTAAGAGGTTAAGTTATAAATTAATAGTAGGCTGATACTAATAATTTAGTCTTATACTGCAAAATAATAATTTTAATCTTTGTTACCACATTTTAATACCATGATGAACAGATAAATGGAAATGTTCATACCTGCAATGAGCATGTTGAAACTGAGATTCAATTAAGTGGATTCACTTGACGGTTTACTCCAGATTTCCCACATGAACTGAAGTGTAGACGCTGTATCTCAGTACTTTTCCTTTGGTAGCTTTTTATACATTTTAGGTTGAAATAATTTTATTTTTATTTATATAAATTTGAATTTTTAGTCTGAAATCGTGTATCTTATGACCTTTTAACCCTTTGCAGGCACTTTTCATTAAATCGTAATTTGGGACAACTGTGGAGAGCTTTAGCAAAACTGTTTGATTTAATCTTCCCACTGCTATTTATAATTTTTTAAGGCAATTTTACAAATAATTTGCTTATTTCAAAGCTCAATGACTATCATTTGGGCATAAGTTTGTCCAATACAAAGAGAATTGTATCTGTAATATATTAATTTGGCATCGGATCTCCATTTTCAGACTAATGGGGGGTGGCAGGATTCTTGTACTGTAGCAGGAATGGAGGTCGGGGGGAGGTGAAAGCCAGGTTATCTAGGGCCTTGAAGCCCATTAGCATGACTTCACTTTTGTTCTGAGATAGTAATCTATTGGAAGGATTTGAGCAGAGGATTGAATATGTGAGGAACTTTGACATTAATTTAAGCCTCTAATAAAAAAGAGGGAAACCATGTCATCATGTAGAATTTACCACTGCTAGGCCCACCTATATACCCATTTCTTTTTGAGACTTCAGTAGGGTGGGCAGCTTTGCAGATTCATCAACAAGGAATGGAGAGTGGGGCTGAATTAATTATCTAAGTAACATAACACTGACTAGGCAAGAGGATAAGACCTGTATGTGGTGATATTTTTCAAAGTACATATGTTAGAGTTATATATTATTAATATAACTTAATAGTAAGATAATTTATAAAATCAGTAGCAGAAACGTCTTATTAGGAAGCTGTGAGACACCTTCAACTAGAACTGGCTGATGCCCTAAAAAAACAGTCTATGTCAGAGGCTTCGCTGGAGGTTACATCACATTGCCGTATTAATTTAGAAGATGAGACACAGGATTTGAGGAAGAAATTAGGTCAAATCAGAAGTCAGGTATGTATTAAAGGTAGCATGTCAACAGTTAATCTGTAGCAGGTTAATACAAAGTGTTTTAGGATGCTAATTTCTATGAACCATTTTCTTTTGTATTTTCATTATAATTTAGTGTAATTTTAGTATCTTCACAATGCACTTATTTCTTAAACTTTGACTTTCATTCTGCTATTTGTGTTATACTTTTTTTTTTCTTACAGTATTTACCCTTAGGAAAGTTGAAACTTATTCATCATTCCTCACAGAAATTGAGGGAGTTTTTTTTCCTACTGTACAATTTTTTTAAAGATTTATGTAGTATTTGAGAGAGAGCGAGAGCACGTGCGCATGCACACACATGAGTTGGGGGAGAGGCAGAGGGAGAGGGAGAGAATCTCAAGCAGACTCCCTGCCCAGTACAGAGCCCCGCGCCAGCTCGATTCCATGATCCTGAGCTGAAATCATAAGTTGGATGTTTAACCAACTGAGCCAACCAGGTGCAATGTTTTTTAATGATATCTCTGTTACCATGATGAGGTGAGCCATACAAAATCAGAAGATAATCTTTAATGGAATGTTTCAGACAATGGTCTTATTTCTCATGTTCACTTTTATGAACGGATATAGAATCTGTACTGAATTTAGGATAACTTGTACAGAAAAGTCATTTTACAAACCAGTTGAACTTAGGCGTTTCCTTCATTTTCTTTTCCTTTTAGATATATTGTAAATGCATAGAAATATTCAGATCATGTGTGGTATATACACCCAAAAGAGAGAATTAAGAAATTAAGAATGGGTCCTGCCGTTGTTTTTTTTTTTTTTTTTTTAAGATTTTATTTGACAGAGAGAGACACAGCGAGAGAGGGAACACAAGCAGGGGGGGTGGGCGAGGGAGAAGCAGGCTTCCCGCCAAGCAAGGAGCCTGATGTGGGGCTTGATCCCAGGACCCTGGGACCATGACCTGAGCCGAAGGCAGCCGCTTAATGACTGAGCCACCCAGGCGCCCCCATTGGATTTTTTAAAAACTTTATTGAGATATAATGCACATACCATACAATTCACCCAGTTAACATGTATAGTTCAGTGTTTCTGATCATATTCATAGGGTTGTGCAACTATCACTGCCATCAAGTAGAACATTTTCATCACCCTGAAAAGAAACCCTTAGCCCTTGAGCCCCCAGCCTCAGGCAACCAGCAGTCTACTTCCAGCCTCTATAGAGTTGCCTATTCTGAATATTTCATATAAAGGGGGTCACACAACGTGTGGTCCTTTGTGACTAGCTTCTTTCACTTAATGTTTTCAGGGTTCATCTGTGTTATAGCATATATCAGTGCTTCATTTTTTTTTTTAATTGTCCAACAGTACTCCATTGTGGGCTAAAACCCTTGTTCATTCATCATTTGATGCACCTTTGGGTTGTTTCCCACTTTATGGCCATTAATAATGCTGCTCTGAACATTGATTTAATTGTTGTCTGGACATCTGTTTTTATTTCCCTGCCATCAGATTTTATCCTCTGAGTTAATTGGGTTGATTTCACCATCTCTCAGCCTTTTACTCATGCTGTCCTTTCTGTCCTTTTAGTTTCCCTTCCTCTTGCGTAATCTTACACTATTCAGACCTGGCTCATAGTCTCTCATTCTCCATGAAGCTCTCTCTGACTATTCTAATTCCCACTGACTTTAATCTCTTCACACGTGTCTCATCTAGTCTATGCAGAACAATTTAGTCCTTTATTTTACATTGGTTTTATTTTTTTCATGAGAGAGAATTTTGTCTACGTACACATTTATCTAAGGGGGAAAATACGGGATATGCATGGTACCTATCCTTTTATAAATTGAGAATATTTTAACTTAACAGTGTTTAGGATAAAATTAAGTATTCATACCATATCAATAATTTCTGATTGAAAGCATTGACATAACAAAGCTTTTATTCTAAATGTATTTTAAGCAATTAAATGTAAAATTGAAAGCATTTAATCTGACAGAGGAGAAGTGTTCAATCAAATGCTTGTTTCTCCCCCCTCACTGTGGAAGAGCCGTCTAAATTTGCCTTTCTTCATTTTGCAGCCAGTACTGAGATTACTTTACCAACTATAAAGCTCCGGGCACAGCTTTTCTTTCTTTCTTTTTTTTTTTTTAACCTTTCTTTTTTAAAGTTTGTTTGTTTGTGTATTTATTTATTTATGTAATTTCTACACCCATCGTGGGGCTTGAACTCATGAGCCCAAAGTCAAGAGTCACGTTCTTCCCACTGAGCCAGCCAGGCGCCCCCGGGGACAGTTTTTTCTCATATGCCATATCACATAGCCTTAATGTATTCATCAGAGTACTTGCTAAAGCAGTGTAACACAGACGGTTGCTAAGATAATATAAACATGAGATGATTTGGGAATGTTGATTTAGCAAGAGTCCATTATTTCCACGTCAGTGGCTTTACCTTGCCTCTGATGGTCATGTAAATATTTATTACTCAGTCTAGGCGGTACTATTTGCACTGTAGTCCATGAGATTGTCCACTGAGTAGTATAGAGAGGCAGTAAGTTAAAATTATTATAAGTGGGAAAAAGTACTGTTAGCTAGTGGAATTGGTAAAAGTTTTTTGAAGTATGGAGGATGTATTCTGGGCCTCATGCTCCCCATTTGCTGCCACTTTCAGTGGTATGAAGAACGATTTCAGTGTAACTTGTATAAGAGACCACTTTCATTGGCCTACCATCTGCCTAAAATATGAAATATTATTAGAACATAACCTACAGCAACAATAATAATGCTAATTGCAGACAGAATTTGGTGTGTGCCACATGCCCTTCTAAATAGTTCATGTATAGGGGCACCTGGGTGGCTCAGTTGTGAAGTGTCTGCCTTTGGCTCAGGTCATGATCCCAGGGTCCTGGGATCACGTGCTGCATTGGGCTCTCTGCTCCGCAGGAAGCCTGCTTCTCCCTCTCCCACTCCCCCTGCTTGTGTTCCGTGTCTCGCTGTCTCTCTCTCTCTGTGAAATAAATACAATCTTTAAAAAATAAAAATAAAAAAAATAGTTCATGTAAATTTCCTAAATTAATCTTCCCAACATGCCAGTGTGGTAGATACTTTTATTATCTTCATTTTACAGAGAAGAAGCTGAGACACAGAAATTTTAAGTAATTTTTTCCAGGGCACACAGCTAATACCTAGTGAGTTGGGATTCAGACCCCAGGCATTCTGGTTCCTACGAAGATAATGCCTCTCATACTATTCCATGAAATATCTAGTTGTCACTGAAAGCAACATGTTAACTTTTATAATCACTGGAACAGCCATGGTCATCACATATGTGAATATTTAAAAGTATAATTGATGTGGTACTTCGAATACAAAAATAGAAATCTTTACCATAAGGTAATTTCCTATCTTTCCCCCTTTGACCAATATATAAATTCGTAGATTTAGCTGATAAAATATAATTTAAAAACATTAAAAATGTGACATTTTAGTAACTAGAGAAGTCAGCAAACTTTTCTGTAAGGGGATTGTAAATATTTTATTTTAAGATTTTATTTATTTGAGAGAGAGAAGGAGCAGTGGGGAAGGACAAAGGGAGAGATAGAGAGAAGCAGACTCCCTGTAAATATTTTAGGCTTCATAGGCCATAGGTCTCTGTTGCAGCAGTTCAAATCTGCTGTAGCCATAAAGCAGTATGTAGAGGAGAGTGTGGCTGTGTCCACTAAAATTTTATTTACAAAAACAGCTGATGGTGGTTTTATACTAGATTGCCAGTAGTTCAAAGTATTTCTTTTTTTTCTTTTTTAGTTGCAAGAAGCACAAGATCGACATGCAGAGGCTGTAAGATGTATTGAGACGTGGAAAGATCACATGCAAAAGTACAATTTAAAGCAGCACAGAAAATAACTTGAGAATTTATAAAGCAGAGAAGCAGTGTAGAATGAGAAATATATCAGTTATGATAATTACATCATTGTTAAGCTGGATAAAAATTTCAGCTTTGCGCTATTTGGAAATGCATAAATTTTGCATATTATCTTTAAGTTTTGCACATTAACTATAAAACACAACCAGAAAAATGGCACAATTGCCAAATCTTCTACTTTTAAAATTTTTAAGAATTTATGTAAGACAGTCAGATGTTTGTTTAGAAATTATACGGTACTTTTAAAATTTATGTGTGAGATAAATTTTAAAATACTCATTTTAGGCTTGAAGTTGAAAATGCCAAGTTAAAAGGTACAGTCAAAAAACAAGCGCGCAAAATTGAACAACTTCAGGAAAACCTGTTAAGTACAAGTTTGGTAAGTCAGTCTCTTAATTTCTGTCCTACTGAAAAGGAATTTTTATTTCTCTAGTAGTAGTATATAAGACCATTTTGGATAATATGAAAATTCTCACTAATAAAAATGTTTATTGTATTCATATTGTTGCTACTTGCTACTGGTAGTATAATTCCTCTTTATAGATGAAGTTGACTGAATTCGTAAAGTAATAATTTTTATAGTAAGATTGTAATAAAAAAGATTGTGGTAGTCTAAGATAAGCAATATTTTATATATGCCACATTTTATTTATCTATCTGGCAGTGGACAATTGAGTTTTCCCACCTTTTGGCTATTGTTAGTAATGCTGCTGTGAATATTGGCATACAAACGTCCGAGTCCCTACTAATATTTTTCAGTATGTTTAAAAATTCTGAAACTTTGAGTCATAATTTGATCTTGAATTCTGACTTTCTCTTGTAATCTAAACCCTTCAGTGAGATTTGAGAATGGATTACTTTCATGATAATTTGTTGTGATTTGTAATTATAAATTTGTAATTTGTTGTCTTCATCCAGAATGACTACTAGGTCATTATGCAAACATTTTTCTCAAAGGAATATATTTTTCTCTTTGTTGGATTTTGAAAAGGAAAAGAGATGCCAGTGAAAAGTGGAAATGACTGCTCAATCAGGGCCTTACATAGTAACATAGTGCTCCTAGCATTCACTGCAAGTTCAGGAACTTCTTTTTTTTTTTCATTAATTTGAGTTAATCAGCCTTTCAGAGATTTAGCAATCAAATCTCAGAAAAGATTAATGTGCAATCCGGGATTACAACTTATTGATACGTAATGCAAACTATATAACTATTTACCAAGCAGAACTGGATTATCATGCCATTTATACCCTCCTTCATAGGAGAGTTCATTCAGACTTTTTAAATCTCCAAATGTCTGTGTAGCTGTTATTATTTCTGGCTATAATCTTCCTTTACTTCTGCCATTCCTATGGAACCGTCAACCTGAATATGTGGGCTGTCTCAAATTCTTGTTTCTGCTAGTGGTATAAGACCAAAACAACCAGACTTGTCATAGTAATAGTTAAGCAATTATAGTCCATATAGCTGTCACTTGACAGGTGATATTTAAATCTCCAGTCATTGATTTTGTCATTGGTTTACCTTTTGCCATTGAGTAAAATTCCAAGTTCCTTATATGGAGTAAAAAAACCCAAGTCAGTTTGGTTCTTGCCAGATTATTCAGCTACTTACCCTACTCTGTTGCTTTGCTCTAGCACCTCTTCAGCGTAGACTACTTGCAATTCCACAAGTGTTCTTCCTCACTCTTTGTATATGTTCTTTGTATATGTGTCTTGCCTCCACCTGGCACATTTTTTCCTTGTACGTCAGGTATCAACGTATATATCACCTCCACCAAAAAGCAGGCAGTATTGATAGAAAACTAGGATGTCCCTTTTGTGTGTTCTTATAGTGTCTTGTTTTATACCTGTCATGGCATATTCAACTCTAAAATTGCCTGTTTGATTTTTCAGTTTCTAGTATATGATTGCTCAGGGGTGGGCTCTGTCATCATCTTGTAATTTCATCTTGTAATGAGAAAACTAGAAGCTCTGATATTTATCCACAATAGCAATTAACTCGGTGGGCAACCATGAGCAAAATATATTTAAACGTAATCTTGTATTTTATATTGTAGTTCTATGTAGATATTTTTCATTCTTCTTAACACTCATAAGGCTTCAAATTTGTTTTTTACTAACTTGTAATTAACTACAAAGTATTTTAGATAAAGAATGTATAATTCTTTTTCTTTTCAGATGCTGCTGAATTTGAATTAGACTCATGGCATATGACCTCCTCTTTAGAATGTACTTACGAATCACATGTAAATGACGATCTACTAGCGAAATCGTCAAAAGAATTTTTACAGACTTTGAAGAAAAATTATATGTTCTGAAAGATAAACAGTAAAATTTATTTACTGGATGTTTGTATAACATTTTAATTGTCCTACTAAACGTATTGTGTGAAAATCTTGAATAAAGGAAAATACTTCTGGATCATGTGTGTAATGAAAGTTTATATAATATCTTAAGCTATGTTTCTTGGCACCTAATTAACTTTTAAGCAGGTTTTATACGTGGAGACCAGCACTATTGGGTTTTACATGCTTCAGGCTGCCCAAATACCAGCTTTTTAAACAGCACCCAACCAACCAAATTGTCATTAGTACTTCAGGGGTGTTAATTGATAGCGTTTTTGTATTTTCCAGTTGTTATTACTATATATGGACCTAGAGATTTACACAGACATCATTTTGATATATTGCTGCTAAGGCTATTGTCAATGTTTCTATGTATTACAATTTTTATACTGCCATAAAACCTATGTATAATTTTAATTTTAAGTACTGATTCATAGCTCTTTCCTCATGGTGAAAGAAGATTTGCCTAAGGCTTTTCACTTTTTCTGTTTATTTTTTATTTACTTTTTCAAAACAGTCTTAAAATTAGGGAAAAGAAAACTTAGAGAAAGAAGAAAGAACTTGTTCCCTCAGAACCATTTGCAAGTAAATTGCTAGATTATGCCTGAGTCCCATAGCATTTATATCCTACAAGTCAGTACATTCCACATAACTACTGTACAACCCTGACAATCAGACAACTAGCTCTAATACAATTAACCCTTGAATAATGTCGGGGTTAGGGGCCCTGACCCCTTGCAGTCAGAAACACGTGAATAACTTTTGACCCCCCAACTTTTGACTTCACTAATAATGTGCTGTGGACCAGAAAACTTACTGGTACCAGAATAGTCAATGAAGCTGTGTTTTGTATGTTATATATATTCCATATTATATTCTTCCAATAAAGTAAGCTAGAGAAAAGAAAATGTTATTGAAATCATAAGAGAAATACATTTACAGTACTATCATGTATTTATTGAAAGCATTTGCATATAATTGCCCCCATTCCAACCATGTCAACTATATATTCTATCATTTTTTTTTAAAGATTTATTTATTTGACAGTGAGAGCACAAGAAGGCAGAGCGGCAGGCAGAGGGAGAGGGAGAAGCAGGCTCCCCACTGAGCAGAGAGCCCGACATGGGGCTCGATCCCAGGATGCCGGAATCATGACCTAAGCCAAAGGCAGACACTTAACCAACTGAGCCACCCAGGCACCCTGTACATTCTATCATTTAATCCTCATATTTTTAAGTTTTGTCACTTGTCTGTAATATCCTATACATAAGGAAGGTCCTGTTCAGAGCTATGTATTTAATTCAGATGTTGTGTCTCTTAGTTCTTTCAGTTTAGAATCGTTCCTTAGTCTTTCCTTAATTTTCATGACTTACAATCTTTTAAACAGTTAATTCCAGTAATGTAGAATGTCTTTCAGGGTGGGTTTTTCTTATGTTTCCTTATAAAATTCAGATCAGGGACGCCTGGGTGGCTCAGTTGGTTAAGCAACTGCCTTTGGCTCAGGTCATGATCCTGGTGTCCTGCGATCAAGTCCTGCATCAGGCTCCCTGCTCAGTGGGAAGCCCGCTTCTCCCTCTGCCTGCCACTCCCCCTGCTTGTGTTTTCAATCTCTCTCTGACAAATGAAAAAAAAAAAAAAAAACAACTTTAAAAAAATTCAGATCATACATTTTTAGCAAGAGTATGAAGTGGTCCTCTACTCTTCTCATTGCATCCTATCATGAGACCTACAATTTTGATTTGTCCCATTGTTGGTCATGTTAGCATTGATCCTGGAGGTAATATCTGCCAGGTTTCTCCTCTGGAATGTTAACTTTCCACTTTATAATTAATTAGTATTTGGGGGGAAGTAGTTTGAGACATGTAAATATCTCCTTTCTCAGACACCCTGTGCCAGGCCATGTCTTCTGCGGATGATTGACTGCCCCCATAGGCTCTGAAAACCCATGCTGGACTGTTCTTTCCCGTCAGTCTGTGATACCACATTCTATGTTGTTGATGTTTCAGGGGAGTTCCAACACTGTGCAGGGTGGCTCTCCCACTTTTATGCCTTCCCCATTCTATCCAGGCTCCAACACCTCACTCTGGGCCACCTCAGCTCCCTGTTTCTGTTTCTATGCTTTTGAATGGAAAATTTGGGAATAGAAAGAAGAAAGGGGGAAAAGGCTCCATAGGTCTTTTACACTCAACTTGTCAAGCTTTACAAAGCAAAGATTCTGATTAGAATTGCATTGAATCTCTCTATAATTTATAGGGAAAAGACATAATTTTCTTAACAGTATTTTAATTGATTAACTCTCAATGTTCAATGTTTAAAAAATTTCCTATAAAGTTCCTGCAGATATTTTTTAGATTTATTCCCAGGTAGTTAATATTTTTGACCCCATTATAAATATTATTTTTATTTTTATTTATTTTTATTTTTTTAAAAGATTTTATTTATTCATTTGAGACACAGAGATACAGAGAGAGAGAGAGCATGAGCAGTAGGAGAGGCAGGGGGAGGGGGAGAAGCAGACTCCCGGCCGAGCCAGGAGCCCGATGTGGGGCTCGATCCCAGGACCCCGGGATCATGACCTGAGCCGAAGACAGAAGCTTAACCATCTGAGCCACCCAGGCGCCCCTAAATATTATTTTTAAAAATCAATTTCATTTCCTGTTTGTTGCTAGCTTATAGAAATAAAATTATTTTGCATATTGAGCTTAGATTCAACCTATCTTGGTAAACTGTCTTATTTTATTTTTTCTCACAATTCTGGAGGCTAGGAAGTCCAAAATCAAGGCACTGGCAGATTCAGTGTCCAGTGAGGGCCAGCTTCCTGATTAATGGATGCTGGTCTTCCTCCTGTTTCCTCATGAGGCACAGGGCCAGGGGAGCTCTCTCAGGTATCCTTTATTTATAAGGGCACTAATCCCATTCATGAGGGCTCCACCTTCATGACTTAATCACTTCCCAAGGCCCCCACCTCCAAATACTATTACATTGATCATTAAGATTTAATACATGAATTTGGGAGTGGGGGGAACAAATATTCAGTCTATAGCAAGGCTGTTCCTTGTTCTTGGCCGTGTAGGCTTCCCCAGTATGGCTGCTTACTTCATGAGGCCAACAAGGAGAATTTCACTGCAGAGAGGGCTCAGTCCTCTTTTAAGGGCTTCACCTGCTTAAATCAGGCTTACATAGAATAATCCCCTCCTGATTAAATCAAAATTAACAATTATATCTGCAAAATTCTGTTACATTTGCCATTTTCTAATGGCTAGAGTCAAGTCACAGATCTGGGCTACACTTAAGGGAAAAGGATTATAAAAGTTGAGAACACCACAGGGCATTTATTATGAGGTCACCTAGCGTCTTTCTGTTACAATTATATTAACAAAGTTCCCTTATACGACTAGTTTTCTAAGTTTTATCATGAATGTTGAAAGATAATAGATGTTTGTTTTGCATATATTGAGATAATTTTTTAAAAATTTGTCAATGTGGTGAACTACATTATGTGCTCATGTGAAACCAACCTTGCATTTCTTAGGTAAACTGAATTTAGTTGTGATTTCATTCATCTGTTGCATACATTACTACTCTTGTTATGATGATATCTTGGTGAGGATTTTCTCCTCTCTGTTCATGGATAATGATAATGCAAGGAGTTTTGAATACTTTTAACTCAATTTACATGGCTCCAAACTTGTGCATATTGTTGCTTTGTTTTTTAATTCTATCTTGTATCTTTAAAAAATACTCGACACTGTTATAACTTTTACATGATACTGCCAGCGTTCATTTAAATTGAACTACATATTAATTTTTTTTCCCTGTCCTCTTGCATCTCAGAATTTCTATTTGGGATGATTTTTCTTCTCTTTATTTATGTACATTCTTTAAAATTTCCATGAGTGAGAACTGCCAGGTAATGAATCTCTGTTTAAAATGTCTTTATTGGGCGCCTGGGTGGCTCAGTTGATTAAGTGTCTGCCTTTGGCTCAGGTCAGGGTCCCAGGGTCCTGGGATTGAGCCCCACTTCAGGCTCACTGCTCAGCGTGGAGTCCTCTTCTCCCTCTCTCTCTGCCCCTCCGCCCACTTGTTTTCCCTCTCTCACTCCTTCTCTCTCACTCTCTTTCAAATAAATAAAATCTTTAAAAAATAAATAAGAGGTCTTTATTTCCTCTTACTCTTGATATACATTTCACAGCATAGAGAATCCTAGGTGAGTAGTTATTTTCTTTGATCATACAGAAAATGTCATTCCACTGCCCTTTGTCTTTCATAATTGCTCTTTAGAAATTATCTGTCCACCTGTTTCTCCTTTGAACATAATCTGTTCCCCACTCTGCTCCTTTCCCCCACAATTTTTGGTTGCTTTAAAGATCTTACTCTTGGGGGGAAAAAGAATTCTTTTTCTTTGTGTGTTTACTGCAGTTATGCTATTATGGGTCTAGATTTGGATGTCTTACTGTTTATCTTAGTAATGTTGCATAATTAGAATTCCATTTACAAGAGCTCCAAAAACCATAATATACCTAGGAATTAACCTAACCAAACAAGAAAAGGATCTATACTCTAGAAACTACAGAACACTTATGAAAGAAATTGAGGAAGACACAAAGAGATGAAAAAACATTCCATACTCATGGATTGGAAGGATAAATATTATTAAAATGTCTATGGTGCCCAGAGGAATTTAAACTTTCAATGCAATCCCTTTCTAAAAACCATTGACATTTTTCACAGAGCTGGAACAAATAATCCTAAAATTGCTATGGAACAAAAAGAACCCTGAATTGGCAGGGGAATGTTCAAAAAGAAAACCAAACCTGGAGTTATCACAATGCCTGACGTCAAGCGATATTGCAAAGCTGTAGTCAAGACAGTATGGTATTGGGACAAAAACAGACACATGGATCAATGGAAGAGATTAAAGACCCCAGAAATGGACTCTCAACTCTACGGCCAACTAATCTTTGACAAAGCAGGAAAGAACATTGAATGGGAAAAAAAAAGACAGTCTCTTCAATAAATGGTGCTGGGAAAACTCGACAACCACATGCAGAAGAATGAAACCACACCATCCTCTTA